GATCAATTTTTGTTTATTCGATAAAAAATTTCATTTACATTATTTCGGGCTGAAATTAATTTTCCTAGGGCAGTTTTCGACGCTTTATCGAATGACGTTTTCAAAATACCGAAAATTTCGAAAATTTCGAAAATTTGACTTTCCCCCCGTTATCCTATGTGCTGCCCATAGATTTTCCTCAATTTTTGTTTATTCAATAAAAAATTTCTATTACATTATTTCGGGCTGAAATTAATTCTCTTAGTATATTTTTCGATGCTCTATCGAATGGCACTCGCAAAATCCCTCAGTAATTGCAAATTTCATAATAATGAGTGCCCCCCCGTTATTTTATTCCCCCCCCGTTACCCTATGTGTACCTTCTGACGTGCAGTTAGAAGCTAGAGAGCGAGAGAAGGCGAGAAAGTGTATAGAAAAAGAGTGGTTCTCGAAATCGACGCTAGTTTTCACGCTTTTCCGATGTTATTGAAATTTTCTCGCTTAAAATTTTGGGCTGCTAAAGAGACAAAATGACGGATGGGTATTGCGAGAGTGAAAGCGGGAGAGATAGATAGAGGGAGAGAAATAGAGAAACAGAGAGGGAACAAGAGAGAGCCGGGAGAAACAAAGATTTCCAAGATTTTCTGCCGACTTTCCAAGCAGCTAATCACATTCCAGGCCTGGAAACTCCAGAAAACCTGAAAAAAGGTTTTATTTCCGTAACCTCCTCTGAGATTCACTTACCTACTCGAGACGTCACTGAATGGTTGAAATTGAACGGGAAGACATTCTGTCGAAAGCGGAATCGAAAAAATCCTTCAAGGAGAAAAGGGGAAAACGATTCCGGGGCAACCGGGGATTGGAGGTTGATTCGGTCTCTTCTCTGCGCCCTAAGCCCCGCCCCTTTTCCCTAGGGGTCTCTGCCCCGGTGTGCATTCTGTCTTCTGTCTATCATAATCCCTTTAGAGACCCAATCTACCCTCGAGAAAGACGAAACCATCGGAATTCAATTCTTTCCCCTTCCTCCCACATAGATTTCGACCTATTTTAGAGTTTCGAACCCGGTTTGGATTCAGTTTTGGTCGAAACTAGACAGTTTCCTGGGTCTTGGTTTTCAGATTTATTTTATCTGGCGCACAAACTATCTACTATTCCCCTAAAAATGCAGATTTCGAAAATTTTCAGGATTGGGTATTACGGTAGCTTGAGCGCGGCTCCTACTGTCTTTATCTTTTTTTTGTAAAAACAGATCGTTGTCTTAGTTTTTTTAAAGCCATTCTAGCGGGCGCTCAACCCACCTTTTGACACCTTTAAAGAGTTAGACTTTAAAAATTTTAAAGATAGAAGTATTACGGTAGCTGGGCTGACTGCCCTACTGATATGACCTCTTTCATTGTGTTTTTCGTATTTTTTGTACATTTTCTTAGCCATTGCCAGGCAGTTAAGTCAGCCGTTCCAATTTAATCTATATGAGACTTAAAATTCTCTCAAATTCCGTTGGACACCAAAAAACGCCGCTGAAAAACGATCCCCTATGCTCTTGCATGCGAATTGGCCTCGTTTGGCCTTTGGCTATGATTCTGATTGCAGCAGGCTGAAGGAGGATCAAATGAATTAAATACCAGACCAAGGAACGTCGAATTCGACGATTTTTGCTCTATTTCTCTGATTTTTTGGCGTCCTCTCAACTCTCTGTCTTTCTGGCATTCCATGGAAATTTATCCCTTTTTCTATCTGTAAAATGGATGTTTCAGTAAATTTCTACCATTCGCTGTGTGCCAAACAAACTGTCCGTTTGTCTCTCTCTATCTCTCTCTCTCTCTCTCTCTCTGCCTCTTTCTCTCTCTCTCTCTCTCTCTCTCTCTTTTCTCCCCTGTCTTCTCCGTGTTAATTAGATTCTAAATTAGCATTTCAAATCAACTACGCATCCACCTCGGTCTCGCTCAATTTGTCTCGTTGGTTTCGAAGGGGTTTCCAGTGTTCTTTGAACCATCTCTATTCGACCCCTAATTTCCTCCGCTCTTTTACTTGAAAATCTCTTAACTGACAAACAGTTGATGTCACTATACCTTTAAAAGAACGGTATGTTCGTTGGTTCCTAAAGAAATACTAATGACGGCACCCACGGCCGCTCAACGGGACACCTAAATTTAATTTCTATTTTAAAGGCCCTTCCCAACCCCTTTCGCCTAGTGGGAAATGAGGTATATTTTGGTGTCTTCCTCTTCCTCTTGAGAAGAGCACATAACTCTATTTCCTTCCAAAATATTTTCAACCGCCTCCACAAATGTCATTTTCCGGAAAATCCCTCGCTTCCAGGTGGAATTAAATTTGCCAAGTCTCAAACCGGCATCCAAATATGATAGAAGATGCGTCTAGGAGATTTAAATTATATGAATACCAGGCATTTCAGCTTAGAAAGCTTAGCTTCTTTTACGAGCCTGAAAATAAGGATGTACACGTGCTTTTTGTGTATTTGTGCGCGACGTGAGCCAGCCTGTCGAATGCTATCACATTAGAAGCCCTTCTCGTCCTTTCCCGAATCCTCTCCTTAATGCACAAATTACCCCGTCTAAAGGGCCGTTGGAAGGGACGAGGGAAGAGAGGATAATTGCGCTAGCCGTAGCTGTGGCTCAGGGTTGTTGAATTTAGGATATCAGGAGAAAAGGCTACACATCCCCAAGTTTTACATTTTAGATTTTGATGGAGGTTCTAGCCTTTATTGATGTGCGCAGAACGTAATTTTTGGACATGTTGAGCGATTCGCAAAAAATCACTGCTAGCTTTAACGACAAATTTTAGTGGTTTTTACAGGACCTTCCTTTCCTAGATGCTTTCCGCAAAGAATTGCTGCTAGCCTGCCTACAGAAAAATCGGATGCCTCAGAGATCCATTCCGTCAAGTAACACCGCTAGTTGCTTTTTGAAAAATCCGGATTTGAGGATTATTTCCGCAAGGAAGTCTACTAGCCTCCCCCTGAAAACAATCTAGGTCCTAGGCATCGATGAGATCCTCCACTAGGAATCGCCGCCCGGCCACAAAAAAAAACCTATGCTCCGCTGTTCTGTCTGGCAGTTCGTTGAAACATTCTTCTCAATTGATCGCCGATAGCTTGCCTTCAAAATGTATCTTGCTAAACGCGAGTTTAGCCTTCAAGGGGGCTTTTATGATTCCCCCCGCCAATAATCCCTAATTTTTAAAATAACATTTTGCAGGCACCCCAGCCACTCCTTGGCCCCTCCCCATCACTCTCCATCCACCAATCCCCCACCAGAATGCAAGCAAAAGCATTATTCCTCGTCGTTCTCATGCTCATCCTCTCCCTTCTACACGGTAAGTTAAACCGATTTAATTTCTATGAAATCTATAAAAACTTAAACATATTTTTAACTTGAAAACTAGGCAATTTTAAAATTCGGCATTAAACGCCAAGTTTCGGAAATGTTTCGAATCTGAAAATTCCGCATTTTTAGGTGTCGCGCTCCATTTAAAATCTACAAAATATTAAATTTGTAGCCTTCCCCCAATACGCGTCAGACGATGATGCGGCACAATTGGTTGGCCAATCCGATCTTCATGGATTTTACCCGGTCGCTTCCGAGGGCAGGTAGTCATTTTTTTACCGGATCTCTATCCAAAAAACCAAACTGAACTCCATTCTTTCCACTTGACATCTACCCCAAACCTTTTGATTGCGTAATCTGATAGCCGGGGAACAAAAATCCGGAAACCCCCCGTTTGGATTGGTCTTTCTGTGCCCATTTTCGTTGGATTGACCCGAGAGTCAGATTTCAGCTAGACCAAATGGACCTGTTTCTGTCTCGGGAAAATTCGACTAGGCAAAGACGTTCATGCTTCGAAATTTTCATGGAAAAACGCGCAAAAATGAAGTTAAATTTGGGTCACACAAAGCATGGCAAAGCTGCTAAATTATGTAAAGTCCTCCGACAAAGGCTAAAAATTGCAGGCACAAGCTGCGAAACGCTTTCCAGTAAGCAACAAAAAAAAGAAAATTCTAGAAAATGCAGCATCTTAGAAAATGCATGGAATGCAAATTAGCCTTGTAGTTAGCTACGCTGCGATCCAAATGACACGTTTGTCAAAATCCATAGGCGTTGGCGCCGGTTAGGGTAGCCATAACAACGCGACCAGACGTCTTATTTGTCGTACGTATCGCAGCGTAGTGTCGCGTAGCTGTCTAGACCTAGTCACTCCAGAAGAGTTAATTTTGGCGCACCCAGTTCCTTTAAAAATTCGTAAAATTGCACCAATATCGGGATTCTGGTTTTTTTCAGTGACGGCCGCCTGAAACGGGCAATGTTCGTGGCTCGTATCGGGAAAAGAGTCGTCAAGAGACCATCATATTATGCGGCTAGAATTGGCAAGTAACCAATTTATCTCCATCAATCAATACAATCGATCGATATTTTCCATCTGTCTTTTTCTCTGCCCTCTCTTCATTCTCCCGACTCTCTCGTCGCTAGCCCCCATATTCGAAGGTGTTTTTTCAGTCAATAAAAGTGCCAAGTGTTTATCTAAACGGCAAAAATACCCGGATATTCCGAAAAATACAGGAAACACATAAAAATACAGAAAATAGCATAAAATTTAGGGAATTTAATCGATTAAAAAAAAAAAAAAAAAAAAAAAAAAAAAAAAATAAAAAAAAAAAAAAAAAAAAAAAAAAAAAAAAAAAAAAAAAAAAAAAAAAAAAAAAAAAATAAAAAATAAAAAAATAAAAAAAAAAAAAAAAAAAAAAAAAAAAAAAAAAAAAAAAAAAAAAAAAAAAAAAAAAAAAAGAAAAAAAGAAAAAGAAAAAAAAAAAAACAAAAAAAAAAAAAAAAAACACAAATTAATATTTAAATAAAAATGGCATGAAATGATAGTTTAGAAAGCAGAAAAACACTTCTAAATACAAAAACTCGCTCGATTACGGCATGAAATTAAAGTTTTGGCAGCTGAAAAACCATTTCCATACAAAATGGAACCGATTAGGTTATAAAATAGTTTAAATAGTGTCAGCAGTATCCACACGTCTTCCGGCAGTGTTTCTTGAGAACGTCGCGGAAATTCGACTTCTGGCATTGTTCGACGAAGAATTTGCATGAAATTTTCTGAACAAATTATTTGCAGATTTTAAAGGGGCTGTGAAGTCAAATTTTTACGAATTTTTGGCGTTTTTGGGCTTGCTGGAAGTCAAATGATCTCTGCTAGTTTGCCCCACTGGGTGAATTCCAGAAATTTCGAAGATAACCTTTTCTAAATGATCACTGCTACCCTAATTTTTCTAAAAAATCTCTGCTAGCTTGCCCGTCGAGGTCTACGAGCAGAAAACCTTGGATAAAATTAGAAAAACAAAATTTTCTATTCCTTAATGAGCTCTGCTAGTTTTCCCGATAAGGCAGAAGAGCGATGCCTTGAGAGGTCAGGAGCCAATTTTACTGCCAAACAATCGCTGCTAGCTCGCCCTTCCCTTCTAAACTTGAATTTTGCTCACCAAATCCTCGCATTCCACATCGTTTCCATCCTTTTCCGCCTCTTCAATGACCACTTTCGGTTTCTTCACTTCATCCTTGATATTGTGCTCTTTTTGGGGGCTTTTCGGCAGTTCCACCAATTTCGTCGTCTTTTCCATCCCTTTACAGTATCCACACGTCAACGCGCAATAATTCTCCATCAACGCTTTGTACGAGGGAGAGTCGCATTTTCCTAAAAATGGGAAAATTGTCGCGATTTTTGTGGAGAGATCAACTGCCTGCCAGAAAAAAAACTCGAAAAACCATCTTAAAATTTCGTCAACTAAAATATTTTGTGATTTTCCGGACAAAATTTGGTAAACTGCCATCCAGTTATGCCATTAAACACCGCTAGTCAAGAATTTGCTCCGCTAGTGTTCGAAATTGCGGTGGAAATCAGCAAACGGGTAGTCGGATAGCCGGAAAACGTTTCTATATATTTTTAAAATTTTTGTTTTTTCACAATTTTTACGGCTGAAAAATCGGCTAACTGTCATCCAGTTACCGCCATCAAAATCATTAATACCAACCGGCCTCCTTGAAATCGTGACAATTCGAAGTTCTATCGAAGCATTGGGCAGAGGGTACGGTAGTATCCTCTTTTCCGACATCCTGGGGCTTTTTCTGGGCACCTGAAAGGGGATGACTAGAGAGGAGAGAGTGTTAGAGAGAGAGAGAGAGAGAGAGAGAGAGAGGAGAGAAGAAAGCGTAGAATGCACCCGAAAGCCATTATCCGCCCACTCACCGGATTCAGGATTCAGTGGAGAAATAGGGGAAGGGCATTTCCCTAGACGATTCAACTTTCGAATGTCTGTTGGGGAGAAGGCCATGTTGTCACCCAGGGAGACGCCTGCCTGAAAATCGGAAATTCAGAGTTGTAGTTTAAAATTTCGAGGATTGTAGCCTGTAGTTTCCCTTTTTTCAAGCCAGCTGTGATTTTAAAGGGGTTCGTAACGCTAAAAAAGCCTGTTTTCCGCGTTTGTAGTTTTTATCCTAGAGGCCCGAAAATTGTAGTTTGTAGTCTGTAGTTTTACTGATTTCTGACCAGAATGGGTTTTAAAGGGTTCGGAAGCTAAAAAAGCTTATCTGTCTCTCTCCATACTTTTGGAATGTGTATTTGTAGTCTGGTAACCAGAAGACGAAATTTTGTAGTTTATCGTCTGTAGTTTGGCAGTTTGCCAATCAAAATGGCCATTTGTCGGAATTTTGAGGCGAAAAACGATATTCTACCTTTTTCGGAATCATCGTAGCCATTCGTACTTTCCTCTTCTCATCCAACTTTCCGAAAGCATACGAATCGTAGTGCATCAGCGACTGAAAAAATCAAATTCGGTATATTTAGCTCACTGAATAATCATATTTATCCGGGTAGTCGACTTCATTGGCGCGGATCTTCTCGAAATTCACTGAAAAAAATAGCTTCTAAGAGTTGGCGAGCTACAGTATACCCATTTGTGCGGGGATCACATTCTCATATTTGACCGTCAAATGATTGTCTCGATCCGGTCGTTGATGCTCATGCTCGAAACCGATTGCGTGCATCATCTGAAAAATGGAAAAAGGTCATCAAAAAAAGTATCTGCTTTTGGATTCAACTCAATTAAATATTATTACCGCTCTTTTGAAAATTCCGGCAATCGATTTCGACGGACCTTTAAAGGCTATAGCCTACCTCATGCCAGATAATAAAATCAGCAAGGCAATCCAGAGACAGAGACATCAGCTGGCCACCTCCTAAAAATCTATTTTGCCATTTTCTTCCGCTTTTCAAGGACGAGAAACCCCGAGAATCGACCCTTTCGATCGACTAGGTCTAGACAGCTATGTGAAGCGCCAAATCCCATCTCTACACAAGAACTCAATTTCTCGCCCCCAGTACCACAAAAAATTCGCTTGAACGCGTCATTTGGCGTGTATCTGTCGAGACCTAGCCGATTTTTCGGGTCGACTTCCGCGCTTCACAATCCCTGCAAAGTTTCAACTCACCAATCCTCCCAACATATGAATAGCATCCATCTAACGGCACGATGAAGACGTAATCCTTTTCCGATTTTCTTTCCACGAATCGGAAGCAAGAAATCTTTTCCATGCCGCGAAGAGACGAGCGGATGATTTGTTTCCTGAAATAACCGATTACGAAAAGGGTTAGGAAAAGGTTGGAAAAGGGCTTAAAACGAGGTTTCAATGATTTTTGTCCTGAAATAATCGATTATGCTCGGTAATTATAAGGGAAAATGTCTTGAAAAACGTTTTTTCGTTAAACACGTACTGTTGTGAGGTGTACTGCGGACTGACGGCATACGGTACAATATTATTGATCCATCTGTTGTGGGCGGATTCTTTCCGAGACACTCCTCTCACCAGAAGACTCCCATTTTCGATATAGCGGGCCAGCTGGGGCGGGGTTAGCACTGGAAATTGGGTAATAAACTCATGCTATTTTTGAAGAGCTTTAAGAGCTAAAAAATCACTTTTATAAAAAATTTGCCTAAAACCCCAAAAAGAATCCAAGAAAAAATGGCGTTTTTCACCTAAGACCTTGAATTTCGAAAACTCATTCTTCAAAAATTCACTAATTTTTTATATTAATGTATGTAAACCATTAACTGGCTACCAAACAAATATTTGATAGACCCAAAACAAAAAAGAAGTATTTCCAGAGCTACCGTAGCCCCCTTACCCATATCTCCAAACATTGCCCCATTCCTGTCATGCCGCTCGTTGATTTCCCATGATTGCAATGCAACAGAAAATGGGAATATAAAAAGTAACGAATATAATAGATATTTCATCTGTTTTTCTGTCTGCCAGAAGGGCCGTTCGTCTAACTGACCACCCCCAATTTCCCTTTATAACGACTCCAAGCCCCAAAAGCTGCTCAAATAATGCCCGGCCGCCGAAAATCATCATTGTCTCTGTCTGTCTGTGGATAGCCGTTCTGAAATAAGCCATCCGAAAATGCCCTGGGGGCAATGAGGAACTAACAAATCAGACGGCCACGCTAAATTGACTGACTGGAAATGGGCAAAAAATTGGAAACATCATAACAAAAACGAGCTTTTAAAGGACTTGTGAAGTTAAAAAAAATCGAAAAATTGAAGAATCCGTCTCATTTTAATCATAAAATCTAGCAGAGACCCTTTAGGACAGCGTAACAGCAACAAATGATAATTTTTAAGGGATTCTAAGGCCAGAAAAGCGAATTGTCGGCCGTTTTCAGTTCAGGGTTTTTAGTTCGGTTCCGGAATTACTGCTGGAGCCGATTTGCTAGGCGAGCAAGCAGAGATTCCTGTGGAGTTCTGGAGACCAAAAATTGCAACTAGGAAGTTTTAAAAACTGGAAACCGGAAGCTGGCTAGCAGAGAGCATTTAGGAAACCGGCTTGTGCCAGCCATTTCCCTGAATTTCCTGTGATGCAGTTTGTGTGTTGATCCCTTCCAAAACCATCCTGTTACCATTTCCTGTCCTGAATATTTTTAATTACTTTTTATTCCGGTTCCAGTGCACTTGGCGATGAGTTCTTCTTTTGCACGAATGATAAAGAATCCCCTCTCTTCCATCATTAGGTGTATTTCGTAGTCTGCCCCTATCCAGACCGATAAATGATGTCCCTTTCCCCCATTTGGATGCCCCTTATCAGACAAAACTACACGACTGCCAGGAGTCCACATCCTTTCGCTCGTATTTTTCAGCTTTCTCAGTTATCACGTTTATTATTATGGCTTTATTTTTGATATGAATTTAATATTGAAAATTCATTAAAACCTGTAAAACCGGGGACAATTCAGAATTTTTGTTACTCTCGATTTTATGAGTCTCGCCAGCCCTTCAGTCGTAATTTTTGGGTCCTTTTGGCTACCGGTTAAGCTATTCATACCGCTAGAGGGTTTTTAATTTCTTCTTTTTCCAGAAATCAGAATGGATGTGAATTCGCATATCTCGGCGGAGGGGGACAATCAGGATTTGACAGAAGAAAGGGGAAGAGGAGATTTCTCAACGGAAGAAATGGCTCGACTCGTTTATGGAAGACAATTGGCTGAGAAGAGGAGGAAAATCACCGAATATGTCCAGAGGAATCCTGTGTAATTTTCTAATTAAACACCAAAAGCGTCATTTTGCAAATTTAAAGCTATCGTTTAATCCTTGAAAAAATCTTAAATAATATGTGCACAATTTGTATTAAAATCAAGTCTAGATTACATGACGCTGGCGAGCAGGCATTTATGACAAGGGAACAGAAATATGACGATGCTGCTAGAAAGGTGAGAGGGAGAGAGAGAGAGGAGAGAGCGAGAGAGAGAGAGAGAGAGAGAGAGAGAGACGAGAGAAATCGCTAAAAACTCCAAAATTCATTCCAGACCTCGGAAATCTTCCGTCGTCTCGAAGAGTTTGGAACGTATCCTGGAGAGGAGTCATTTGCCCATGTCATCAAGTGGGTTTTAAAGGGATTTGGAAGCCAAAATCTATGTTTTTTTTGCCTTTTTCCATGCCAAGCCCTAAACTGACATCCATTTGGCAATCCACCAAAAAATCGGCTTAACCGGACACTTTATCGATTCGTAGCGTAATCGGTTAAGCCTCGTATATTTTAGTGAGGTAATCGGAATCGATGGCTACCCCCTAGCCCTCCAACATGTCATGTTTCTGCCTGCACTCCTTGGCCAGGGTGATGAACAACTAAAAGGTATGCTGGATCAATTTTTGACACTACGAAATCCACCAAATTACAGCCAAATACGCAGCCCGAGCGCAACGCGGGGAGATTATCGGAACGTACGCGCAGACCGAGATGGGTCATGGTACTGTATTTTGTTAAATACGAATTTTAAAAAGAGCAGGATTTTCTTAAAATATAAAACTAGAATATTAATATTACGCCGTACCGTAAAATCAAAAAAATGATATTTTTAAGAAATTGGATTTTTATGGTAATTTTAATAGCATTTTTAATCGATTTTCAAGCTTGATTTTTATCAAAACTCAAGTTAAAATATTACACTGTACGCTGTACCATAATCTTAAATCGATTTCTATTTTTTTTCAGGCACAAATCTGCGTGCCCTGGAGACGACAGCCCATTACGATAAGAAAACGCAGGAATTTGTGATCAATTCCCCCACTACCTCTTCCATTAAATGGTTAGTTATATAAGCTGGACCCCAATTAATCGAATTTTAATGGTTTTACTGTATTTTGGGAGCTAATATTTAAAATCTTGATATTTTTAGGTGGCCCGGAAACTTGGGAAAATCGTCGAGCTATGCAATTGTGGCCGCCCAGCTCCATATTGACGGCAAATCGATCGGGCCGCATAATTTTTTGGTGCAATTGAGATGTGAAAAGACGCATCAGCCGTTGAAAGGTATGTTTTATTGCTTAAAAATATTTTTGCACTTTCTGCCAGCCATTTGAGCATTTTATGGCATTAAAAAGTTTGAAGAGCTTGTTTTTGCCGATTTAGATGTTTTTAAAAGGGATTTTGTAGTACGGAAAAACCAATCTGTCAGTCACTTTATAATTCTATAAGTTTTGCCGTCATTTATCGATTTTTAGGAATTCTCGTCGGAGATATCGGCCCGAAAATCAGCTACAACACGACGGATAACGGGTTTTTAAAATTGGACCATGTGAGGATACCTAGAGAGCAAATGCTGATGAAACACGCCAAGGTGATTTTTCAGGAAAATCCAGGAAAATCGATGTTTAGGTACTTCCAGACGGTACCTACGTGAAGCCGCCGCACGCCAAGATTGGCTACGGCGCTATGGTGCATGTCAGGTAAGGGAAATTTGCGATATTTGGCAAACTAGGCATTTCTGAAGCTATTTTCTGTGTAGTATTTTGTAAACTGGCTAGAATTTAGCGTATTCAAACGAAAACTCACATGATTTTTCGTATTTTCCAGATCTCACATGATCCGCGCGCAGGCCCATATGTTGGCGATGGCCATCACAATTGCCATCAGATATTCGGCGATCAGAAGGCAAGGAGAGATCAGGAATGGGTATGTTTTCGTACAATTCATCCAAAAATCGCTTTATCGTCACGAAATTTGGTTTTGGTCAATTTTATGAAAATTAGTCTCTCGAGCCTTGAAAATCTGTTTTTCTTTTTTTAATGCTTGTAAATTGGCCGATTCACAGCCAAAAGACTTTCGTTTTTTTATTGGCTTTTAACCCTCGCTAAAATACAATCTGCCCTACAAACTACAATTTCCAGTGGCGGTGAGGTCAAAATTCTGGACTACCAAACACAACAACACCGTCTATTCCCGCAACTCGCCCGCACTTATGCCTATTTCTTTGCTGGAGCTGAAGTCGTGGCGCTTTACCAGAAAACACTCGAGAAAATCGATGAGGGAGATGTAAGAAAAACTTCTAAAAACGCACAATCATTTTAGGTAACGCTTATGACGGATCTGCACGCCGTCACCTCGGGGATGAAGGCTGTCGTTTCGTTTGAGGTATGAAAAAGATCTAAAAATTTTCAGCAAGTTTTCTGGCTATCAAAATGCTGTCTTCAAAAAATCTTGAAAAATATGACATTTCTAGACCGGAAACGCAATCGAACAGTGCCGTATGGCTTGCGGTGGCCATGGATACAGCGCGGCCAGCCGTTTTCCAGAGATTTACGGTAATTTTTGAACTTTTTTGTATTTATTTTGCTAGAAAAAGGGGTTTTTAAATGTTAGAAAAGCTGCAAATATTTTACCAGATAAAATTTAGCTGTCTTAAAATACCCTATTTAGGCGTGCAAATCGGCGGTTGCACGTACGAGGGCGAGAATATGGTGATGCTCCTTCAGCTGGCGAGATATTTGATGAAAGCCGCCGATCAATGCCAGAAAGGACAGAAACTGTCGCCACTTTTGGAGTATTTAAAGGGGAAGGAGAAGAAGTCGAGGTTGTCGGATGCCGAGGATAGGGAGAAACTCGTCAAGGTTAGTCGTTTTATCTAGAAAAATCATTTTCAAAACCAGCGGGGGAGGAGCCGCTTCGCGACTCTCCCCCGCTGGGTCCCGTCTAGGCCCTATTAATCGAGCGCCCTTGCACATAAAGTTACTTTGAAGAAAGAAAAACCCATCTTCCATGCAAACCTCTTTGTATTGACATGCGGTGCAAGCTTGAAATGCTACTCGTTATTAGGCCTGCGGCGCAGTTTTCATCGGCTAGGTCGCTACCTCATCCTGCGGCCCAAGCTTGAGGGATTAGCCTCCTTTTTTGGCCTGTGGCGCCAGCTTGAGCGGTTTGCTTCAAGATTAAGCCTGCGGCGCAATTTAAACGGGCACCTCCTTCTTTAACCCTGCGGCGCTAGCTTCAATGGTTGGCTTCATTCATTAGCCTGCGGCGCTAGCTTGTGCGGCTAGCTTCGTTCTAAAGCCTGCGGCGCTAGCTTGTGCCGCTAGCTTCGTTCTGAAGCCTGCGGCGCTAGCTTGTGCCGCTAGCGTCGTTCTAAAGCCTGCGGCGCTAGCTTGTGCCGCTAGCGTCGTTCTAAAGCCTGCGGCGCTAGCTTGTGCGGCTAGCTTCGTTCTAAAGCCTGCGGCGCTAGCTTGTGCGGCTAGTTTCTTTCTAAGCCTGCGGCGCTAGCTTGTGCGGCTAGCTTCGCTAAAGCCTGCGGCGCTAGCTTGTGCGGCTAGTTTCTTTCTAAAGCCTGCGGCGCTAGCTTGTGCGGCTAGCTTCGTTCTAAAGCCTGCGGCGCTAGCTTGTGCGGCTAGCTTCGTTCTAAAGCCTGCGGCGCTAGCTTGTGCGGCTAGTTTCTTTCTAAAGCCTGCGGCGCTAGCTTGTGCGGCTAGCTTCGTTCTAAAGCCTGCGGCGCTAGCTTGTGCGGCTAGTTTCTTTCTAAAGCCTGCGGCGCTAGCTTGTGCGGCTAGCTTCGTTCTAAAGCCTGCGGCGCTAGCTTGAGCGGCTAGCTTCGTTCTAAAGCCTGCGGCGCTAGCTTTTGCGGCTAGCTTCGTTCTAAAGCCTGCGGCGCTAACTTGTGCGGCTAGCTTCGTTCTAAAGCCTGCTTCGCAAGATTGTGAGGTTAGCTTCATCCTTTAGCCTGCGGCGCTAGCTTGTGGGATTAGCCTGAATCTTTAGCCTGCGGCGCTAGCTTGTGCGCCTAGCTTCGTTCTGAAGCCTGCGGCGCTAGCTTGTGCGGCTAGCTTCGTTCTAAAGCCTGCGGCGCTAGCTTGAGGGATTAGCCTGAATCCTTAGCCTGCGGCGCTAGTTTCAGTGCCTGGCTGGATTCGTTAGCCTGCGACGCAGTTTAGAGCAACTGACTTCAGAATAGCGCCTCCCTACAGGAAAATACACTTCGAAACATGCATTCCGAGCATAAAGCAAAAAAAAATACGATAGCCGGGGATCGAACCCCCGATAGCATATTGGCAGGCTGACGCTCTAACCACTATACCATGAAACGCTTGGGAGCGCGCGCGCAACAGCCCTTGTATGCCCCGAGATGACTGCCGGGAAAGGGGGCCAAGGCAATCGAGGCAGCTCCAATGGGCAGCCAAAGCGCGAGTGCAACTGGCAAGAATGAGGAAATTTGTATTTTCTCGCATTATGCAAATTAGCCCTCAGGGACCCCCAAAAATGAATAAAACCGGCCTTAACTTTGTAAACTTGTATTTTATCGAAATTCTGAGAACGCCATCGGAAACAGAAGGGTCGATTCCCCCGGGTGAGGAGAATTAGGGCATTTTATGCACGGAAGGCCTCAAATCGGGCCTCGAAGTGACATCACACACACACAAATAGGACCAAATTATATAAGGCGGGATTAATTCCTTTTTGAGCCGTGATTAGGCGCATAACGCTTTCAAGCATACCTATTTTTGCACAAGGGCAAGCTTTAAAACCCCTAAAAATACCTATATTTTCAGGCATTCGAGTACGTCTCCCGTTCGGTCGTCTTCCGCGCCCACGAACGGCTAGCCGCGCTCCAGAAAAGTGGAATGTCCGCAGAAGCTGCTTGGCAGGTAAAACCTATGTCTGATGTATCCGAAATTCGAATTTTAAGACTTTTTAGACCCTAACAACTCGATTTCTAGGCGAACGCGGTCGAGATGACGCGTGCTTCTCGTGCTCACACGCGCCTCTTCATCGCCCAGGCCTTCCATCAGAAAGTGTTGAGCGTGAAGACGGCCGACAGGAAGATCAACAACGTCTTGGATCAATTATGCGCGCTATTCCTGAATTATGAACTTCTCGATATGAGCCATTATCTCTTGGAGGTTAGTTTAATGCTAAAAATAGCTGCAGTTTACCGAAAAACATCAGTTTTACGTATTTTAAAGTAAGAAACGTTGAGTAAAAACGCCATAAAAACTTTAGAACTTTTTTAAGTTATAAATTAAAAATTTTAGGATCAATACATGACGACAAAGCAGATTGGCATCATCCGCGAGAATGTCTATCGTCTGCTGAAGGATTTGAGGCCCAATGTCGTATCGCTGGTATAGAAAAGCCTAGAAAATCGAATGCAAAACAATTCAGGTGGATTCGTTCGAAATTTCTGACCGCGAGCTGCGCAGCGTGCTCGGGCGGCGTGACGGAAATGTGTATGACAATCTGCTGAAATGGGCGCAGTCGAATCCGCTGAATAAGGAGGATGTAGGTCCAAAAACCGATTTTTCATGTTTTAAAAACTGTAAAAAAACTATCGGATAAATTCTAAGGTGCTAAAACACTTTTTAATTCTTTTAAAACCTTAACAAAGCTTTTCTAAACTAAATATCGATTCCAGGTGCTGCCCGGCTTCAAGACCAGCCTGCAGCCGATGATGGCCAGAGCCCGCGAGGCCAGCAAGCTTTGATTTGGAAATTAGAACCCGTATGATCATGTGAATAAAGTTTATCCCTATGTAAAGCTCAAAAACGATCAAAATCGACAAACATAACAACATCACAAAAACGAATCGCAAATCACAGGGAAATTTTTGCAAAATGGGCCTTCACAAGTTCGAGGGCGCGGCCGCGATGGCTGATCTGATTCTTGATGGTCTTGTCCATTTCGGCGTACGTCTCATCGTAGCCGTCCGGCTGAAAATAATGTTTAACAGGAATTAAAAGAAACTAGAAGTTTTGGTTCTTTCGCATTATCGGGGGTGATCAATTTTCCTATAAGCCCAGAAATGCCTAGTAACGTTAAAGGAAGTGTTTCTCAGGGTTTTTATTAAAATTTAGCTATATTGAAGTGGAAAATTATCTAAAAAAATTTAGAACATTTAAATGTTTGTAATGTGACATTTCAAAAATATAAAAGTTGGCCATTTTTAGTCGAAAAATCTATATTTTTTGAATTTGCTAAGCAAAATTTGTAAAGTTTTTGCGTTTAGGAATCGTAAAAAAATTAGAAAAATCAGATTTAATAGGGAAAGTTGGTCCCCCGATAATGCCAAAGAACCTAATCTTCAAATAGGACAAATCAAATGCTCAATAGCCACCTGAAAACACGGATCCCATCCGAAATCCCTGGGTCCTCGCGGCTCGACAATTTTCCCGGGGCATCTGCCTAAAAACATCTCTTTCCAAAAAGGCGCAATTACGTACCGTCAAAAATGTGCACTTCCCGGCCAACACCCTCGCAGTAGGCGAACACACATTGCGCGTATGCTGATTTGTCCTGAAAAAAAGCAATAAAATCCAGAATTTAGCGTAAAAACGTACCTCATATCCAGCCAACATTTTGGTGATTCCCTCCTGTTTGACGGCTTTTAGGAACCATTTGACGTACGGGCCGGGGAGGCCACCTAACGCGTTGAAGCAAAGGGATGTGTCTTCTACCTGGAAAAAAATAGCTTATACGTTTTAAAACAGTTGGTGGCTTTTTCGACCTGATGCTACTGAAAATCAGCAGTTTTCAGGTACTAGACTCTTAGCGGGGGGGGCTACATTTTTCAATCAATCCCATACGACCTTACAACGAAAACCAAACCGTTTTAACGCAGCTTTTCGATATAAAAACGCGTCAAAAAAAACTACAAAAATTTTCGAAAGTTAGTTCCTGGTTATTTGCAAGTTGGTATTAGTCCCCCCGCCCCCCGCTAATGCACCAGCACCTTTAAACCTCACCAAAACGGGTCCCTGGACCGCCGCCACCGCATCCTCACACTTCTTGCGGGCGATCGTCTCCGGTGTTCCCTGGTACTCGTCCAAGTCGATGTCAATGTTCACGATCTGTAATAGAAATACATATACAAATAATACAGGCCTACACACATATTTATAATACAAAATTAGAGCAAAACAAAACGAAATTTTACCTCGAATTCAGTCAAAATCTCCTTGACCTCCTTCAGCTTGCCCAGATTGCCGGTGACGAACGAGACGGCTCGCTTTGTGGCCATTTCTAAAGCTTAAAATAGCACAATAATGCAGCGACGACCTTCCTACAAGATATAAAGCTGGAAAATCGCTTTGAAAACAATAGCAAAATCCTAAAAATCGCTTCGGAAAACCCATTCAAATCATCGAAAATCAACAAAACCTGACCAATAAAGCTTTATTAATCTCATAAAAAAAAGTGTTCACCTAACTGACTAGCTCAACTAAAAACGAACGAATGGAAAATGGAGACGACGACGGAGGGTACCTAGAGACGAAAAAGGGGTATTGGCAGCACAAAAACATGATGAAAAAGATAACGAAAGAATGGACCTGTATTTTAAACTACAAACATCAATCGATAGATAAATAGAGAGAGGAGGGAAGGGGAGGTAAATGCTATCGAAGAAGACAAAATAGAATCGAGGTGTCTCTGGGGGACAGCTACAAGAAATTGATGCCAGCCCCGAAATGGATGCCCCGCGTCACGGAATCGCCGACCGTGTATTTCAGTGGATGCACGTAGTTCAGCTCGAACCGGAAGATGTTCCTGAAAAGAGACGAATTGATTTTTTTTGCATTTTACAGTTATTCAAAATAGAATCTTTAGATTTATTTCTATCAGCAAAAAGCGCATGTTCTCAACGAATTAAAAATTTGCCAGTATGAGCTTTTCCTAGGTATTTTCAGGACTAAAGGGCTTAACCTACAAATTTAGATAAAACTATAAATTACGATAAATATCTATGATTTTTATAAGCGAGACAGGCATTGCTTTCAAAGAAACCATTTTTTACAAATTAAAAATCAGCCAAAAGTCAAAAATTAAAAAATTAAGAATTTTTTTCGAATCCGAAACCCCTTCCAAAAACAGGCAAGAAAAACAATTTAGAAATTTTTACAGAATTTTTTTAATCACGATTCTCGACTAAAACTGTATTTTTCACGATAAAAATCTGGCCAAGCTATTTTTCAACGACAACAATATTTTATAAATTGATAATATTCCTCACTTGAAAATCAGCGTCAACCCGATGCCGGCGGTGACCCGTTGTGAATTGATCATCTCCCTCATCGCCGATCGTGCCCGAACCGAGGCGAACGAGCCGCCCGCCAGCCACGCGTGCGCGAATCTGAAGCGAAAATTCGTAAAAATCGATCCCCAACTAAAACGTACACCATATCTTTGGGGAAGAGCGGTTGGTAGAGGTGAAGCACACCGGCTGCCGTTGTGCCGGCTCCGAGCGAGGAATTATTTGATCGTGTCTAAAAAAGGGAAAATTAAATTCTTTTCTTATTTCAAAAAATAATTCTTCAAAACACGCCAATTTTACAAAAAAACCAGACTTTATGAATCGCTGAAAATACATTCAAATAATTTTAAATATTTCTAACTTTCAGCAAAAGGCATTTTTCCGGAAATTAGACGTAATTTTCGCGAAAGCATCTAGCCGGATTCACAGGATTTTCAAAAATGGCCCGGAAAAGCTCCGCTATTGCCGTTTTTTCGTCACGCTTTCCCCACAAACTCTCCTTATCAAAAAACAAATAAACTGACCCCAAGTGAGTTCAGCCCAAAACCTCGCAAGTCTTGATTTCCGCCCAGGTAGACACGGTCCAGCAGGTGAAGTTCGCGATTTCCGAGTCCGTTTACCGTTTTTAACTAAAAAAAAGGTATTCTTAGGTTCAGGAATCGCCAAAAATTACCTGGAGTGATAGGCCGAGCACGAGATCTCCAATGAGCTTGGTGGCGCCTTGGAAATCGAGTTGGTTCTTCCAGAAATGGCTGTCGCCCAGAGGGCCTGCGTATTCTTGGTTGATCCTAAAAACCGTAAATTTCAAAATCGTATTTTTACGTATTAGGTATTTTCAATCAAAGGGGGTTCAAAAAAGAAAGAGGGGAAAAAGAGAAGAAGGGAAAAGGGGGGGGGCCCCAGGGGGAAGAGAGAAAGGGGAAAGGAAAGGTAAGGGGTTTAAAAATTTAAACGCCGGGGTGATAAACCGGATTTTTGGGGAAAGAAAAGAGTGAGAGAGCAACACAAAAAGAGAGGCAGCTAGAGAAGAGAGATAGAGAGAGACAGAGAGAAAACCAAAAGTTCAACGATACCTTGCCAATAATCCTTTCGTCGCCAACAGCGGCCGATCCCTCGTATCATAGGCTATCGCATTCTCCACGGAGAATTTGATCGTGTGCCCTAAAAACAGCTAAAATTGAGCATTCTATCGAATTTTCAAACCAGCAAATTCCCGGACGGCAAACGCCGCCTCATCCGTTGCTTCCAAAGTGCGCCAGATCTAAGCAAAACCCGTTAAAAACCTTGATAAATTCTACCGTATTTAATTTGACGGTATGCAGCAATCGCTTGTCGAGCAGTTGGCCGTTGTATTGCAGAATGAGGGCATTTTCGTTGAGATTTGACTAAAACAGAATTTTTGGATGAGAAAATCAATTTACCTGATTCCACGGCAAATGCGCCATCGACCTGAACGCCGACATCGAGATGTTCGAGTATTTTTGCCAGCCGAGGAACGGCTTCATCAGCGAGAGGCTGAAGCTGTGGTCGCCTAAAAATAGCGATTTTATCACGATTTCGTGGAAAAATAGCGATAAATAATGCTCAAAAATTGCGATTAAAAAAACCTTTTACGGTATATGCATAAGAAGCATTTGCCGTCTCTCCTCTCCCTAGAAAACTCGCTTTCCCGGCGTTTAGCGACAAATCCGCATCTCCCTGCGTGCTCATCCCGGCTTTCACACCGAGCGTGAAGGGTTTTGGCTCCTAAAATGCTTTTAATTTTCGAAAAAAGTCTTTTTTTTTACCTTGACGACAAAGTTGACAATGTACCGATCTTCGCCGGGGGAGATGTCAATGAGCGCCGTTGCATTCTCCATTAGGCCTACTTCCTGAAAACAGAGAACTTAACAGCAAAAAGCCAAATTACCTGCAAGTGCCTAGCCGCCAAGTGTGAATTGTGGACGAGCTGATCGAGGTTGGCCGACCGGTACAGCTCCGTGATCTCCTTCACGAGGGCGTCGCTTTTCGTCATGCGCACCTGGAAAAGAAGTACAATAATAGATTTTTGCAAACAGAAAATCGATACGTCATTTAATTCGCCATTTCCACACTTGCAAAGCCTCAAATTTCCGCAAATAACGACAACATTTCGTGGGGGTTTCCTTCCAATCTTGTCAAACCTCCGAAACTGAACGTAATCGCCGACTTTGTTTGATTTCGCTAGCAAAACTGCTTTAACTCCCTCAACTTGCGTTTTTCCGCTTTCAAAAGCCGTTTAGGTCAGAAACCATCAGTCAACAACCCCCATAAAAATCCATCCCTTTCCCGCAATAATCAAAATCCAACAATTTACCCCGTGAAACTGGACGGCATCGACGATTGATGGCGCGTCGGCCGCCTTGTCCTGGATCACATCGGCCCGATGGTAGGTTTTACCCGGCTTTTTCATCTGAAAAACGATCCATTGAGTTTTCTGGCTTTAGAACCACCATACGTAGGAATCCACGCAAACATACGTTGCCACCAACTAATAATAACGTCTTTTTTAAGCTTTAAATCTTTCGTACTACAATATCTAAGCCGCTCCAACGGCTTTCTGCCCAAATCTTGTGTGAAATGGCATTTATTTATCGAGCAAAGTTCAAAAAAGTAAACCCAAAAAGGCAAGAAACTAAATACTGTGTACAAGACTAGGGCCCTATGAGCAAAAACGAGTATTTTGCTATGCGAAAGTTATCACAATTCAACGGGGCGAGCACCTCTATTTACAAAAAGCAGTAATCGGGCAGAAACAAAGATAAAACATCAAAATCGTAAAAATCAACAACAAGGGGATTGTACATTCTTGATATCGCCCTTCAGCGTGGTGAATTGGTGCCGGACGACGAAACGGGCTGACTCGTCGGCCAGATCGGATGGGGAATCTTCCTAAAAAGACTTAAGAAACTTTACAAATAGTTTTTTTACCTGAATAGCATGTCCGACTTTTTTCAGCAACGTCGTCTGGAATTTGCCCTGCATCTGGCCGATCTAAAACAAAAAATACGCCTTTTCTAGGTGGCTTTTGAGCGTTTTAGCAATTTCTGATAAGACGTACCATCAACTCCTTATCCAATCGATCGGTCCCCGCCAAAAACAGCACTTTTACTTGGGGGCAGCTCAGGAACTTTGAAGATAGACCCTAAACATCATTCTTTCTGCAAAAATTGAGGTTTTGCCGTGAACCAGTCTTGCCAATACGGCGACGTTTTGCCCAGATCGACGCGCCAAACGAACTGAAACAGGCTTAAAAATAAGATAAAGCTGAAAAACCTTGGTATCATCTTCAGACCTCGTGATTTGTGATGGCATACTGACACGGGCTGATTCGGCATTGCGGACAGTTCCGCTTTTGTAGCACCATCGAATGGCTTCCTCTTCGGAGGCGAATGAGGTAGGGCGGGACTGGAGGAAGGCGTCCTGAAATGAGGTTTTCCTTTCCACTCCAAAAGTCACCATCATTGCCAGCGATTCCAACGCGCTTCCCTCAACAACGTCAATCACTCCCAGCGCTTGCGCGTGTGGAAGAAGACCCCGTGATAGCGTGTGAACTGCCAGTGCTCCGCCCATACTAAAATCACAAATTTTTCACCTAGAAAACCCAAACCTATGCCCAAAAACGAAGATCTGTTCGGGTTCAGCGTCGGCAAAGATTTTGGCGTACAGGTTGGAGATATCCCTGAATCAGAAAATAAACATAAAGATGTAAAAGTTACTTCACTAATCGATCTGTGCTCAAATCCGCGTCATCGGTCGTTCGGGTAGAGCCGTGCCCACGAAAATCCGGGGCAACGACTCGGCATTCCACACGCTCGGATAGTTCTTTCTAAAACCGAAAATTCCCGTTTGATTACCTAAAAATTACCGCGAAACAAGCCCACGTCAACCCGGAATAGCCGCCGCCATGAAAGAGGAAGAAAACAGGACCCGTCGTGCCCTTGGAATACACCCGAAACGTGTCGCCTTCAATCTAAAAAGCGCCAAGTTTTAAATTTAGACACAAAAACCTCTATATCATCAGCGGCGTCAAAAAAATCGCTCCACGGCAACGGCGAGAAGTCGGTGGGGGCTCTGAAAAAGTGGAAAATAAAGAAAAAATGTGTTTCAAACGTACGCTTTTGGTTTGGCTTTTGGCGGTGGTAGTGAACTTCCGGTTCGGAGAGCCGATAATTTGTCCATTCCTGGAAAAAGGTTTGTTTTAGAAACCTGAAAATCAAAAAGCAAATCTTGAACGAAAAGTGTGCCGTGAAAGTTTAGTTGTTTAGGAAACTACAAAGTACAGACTATAAGCGTTTCACAATTCGTTTTTTTTTAATTAATAAAACACAATTTAAGGTTCAAATATGAACTTTGGTTATTTTATCAGCTACAACGTTCGATCTTACATTCAAGGTAGCATTCGGCCTATGGGGGACAACGTAGTTTGTAGCCTCGTACATCGTCCCCAAAAGGTTGCGAAAGCTATTGGCTTGCACAAGCTTTCGCTTGTGACCTATTTTTGGCTTTGACTCGTTTTTAACGATACCACCAGAATACAGTTCCTTATCTAACGAATGGCCAGTGCTGACGAAGCATCGTTGCTTCATTTGAGATTGTGGGGCCCGAGAATGGCCAGGGACCTGATAGAAAATCGATTATTGTGTGTTGAGTGGTCGACTCTGAAAAATGACAAACTTTCCCTGCTAGTGTCAAACTTGACGAGGTTATTCTGAGAAAATAGGGGTAGGTGGATTAGAAAGTATCAAATCTGATGTAGAAGTCCGCTCCTTTGCCTGGTGCCCCTGGAGTGTCCATACTATGTAATAAATTCCAAATTTTGGTGTTCCTTTAGACGCAATTTTATACTATCAAAATTCTCTGACTTGTAGGTATTGTCGCAGTTTTTGGAAAGTTGGTTGACTCAGTCGCGGAAATTGGCGCCAGCTGCCGTTTCCGTCCATTTTCTACCGCAGGAATAATGCGTTTTTGCGCAATCAACCCTGGCTCACGATCTCGCACGGCTAGCTTCTAGGCCGCGTGGTAATGCCATAAATCGCAATTTCTAGCAATCACAAATGGATTGTCCTATTGTCTATGTAGTCGTGAAAGCGGTTAAGCAGCTCCTCTTATGGCCGTTCAAAATTTATGAAAACGAATATGTGCTTCTAGGTATGCCCGTTGAGCGAATAACGGCTTGAATCTACTTCTTAAAAATCAAGAAACAACATCAGAAATGGGTCGAGGCGTCTCCTTCTGGCGACAATTCGGCCTCATCACCCACAAGAACCTCCTGCTGATATGGAGGAATAAGGTGCGGGGGATTGCTTGTGCAAGTCATTGTCCATTTTTCTTTTCCAGGTATGGACCGTGCTGGAAATCGTGATCCCGCTGCTCCTCTCGTTGCCCATTGTTTGGATGGTGATGCAGGTGATTTGCCAGTTTTAAAGTATGCTTTATTTTGTTTAGATTAATGAGGCGGGCGTGACGATACCTGGAAAAACTTACCCGGAAATAGAAGTGTCGGGTGGATGGGCTGATTTTGAAAGGTTACCCTTTTTCTTATCTCTGACCTCTGGGGGACCAACTTGATGCTTTCTTACAGGCGACATGTTTTAGCCGAGCGTGATGAATTGTGCAGAATTTTGCGCTGATTCCGAATATGCTTACCAACTTTGCGAGATCACCATTTTCTGAAAGTTTGGAGCTATTTAAGTTGGGATCACCAAAGAAAGTGGCTCATTTCGGACACAAGTCGGTCTTAGGTCGTTTATAATTTTGGTAAAATCACGCTTCCGCAAGTTTGGTAAACAGATCCGGAATCACCACAAGATAGGCTTGGTTCCAATTTGAAACGCGAAAAATATGACACTAAAAAACGTCTCCATGTTAGGGGAGAGGTTGTAACGTTTTTTGCCAATTTCTTGCGCCATAAAATCCATTCCCATCTATAGTTGCGCGCCTCTTACACAAGAAATTGGGATACATTCTGCAGGTGACCTACTGAAATAGAATCTTTACCATAGGGGCTGCACGAATAGACACGTATCTCTACGTTTTTGGCTCCGTTGAAACGTAGAAATACTTATCGATTGGCTACCCTGAAAATAACGTTCAATTTCAGAAGGGCGGGCTTTGTCAAACCGATCACCCAGAAGAACTGCCGACGTGATAACTTTCGAGTATTATACAGGTAGAAAACCTGGGTTTCCGGCAATTTTTTTCTAGCGCAAATGGCACCTCAACCCCGCTGGTCGACGAGCTGATGAAGGAATTCTGCGCCCGGTACACGGCCAACAAATTTCGGATGGAATGCCTGAAAGTTGAGAATGTCACGGTAATCGAAGCTCGAGGATTTTACCTGTGTTTTTAAAGCTGATGCACGAAAAGCTGCGCGCGAGTCTGATGTCCGAGCTGAAGTTGGACTGTCTCGTCAATGGGTCAGTGATTAATCTTTTTAGAAGAATTTGAAAGAAAGTGAGGCACATAAGCAGGAAATCTCCCTTGTTTTTGAAGCGCTTCGAAGTCTGACTTTCTTTTCTAAGGGTTTAGGATCCCGTGGAACAAAACGAAGCATCGACAGCAAGATAGAAAAATGACAGAAAGACACGTAGAAAAACCAAAATAAGTGTTGGTTTAGGAGACGCTGTTATGAATAAGGGGCGGGGCGGTCAACCACGTCATTTTTGGAATGACATTTATTAGGAAGGAAACGTACCTAAGAAAAAAAAATAGATATTGGCACCCACGCATAAGTGCGGTGGTTCGCAGCAAACGAAATGAATTCGGCTTATCGCGGACCCCCTCTCTTCCCATGTGCCAAACTGATAACACCCTCCGGAACGGCGCATAAAAATTGCCAAATACGAGGGAAATTTGTGGTTTTTCAAGCAGCAGCCTTTAAACAGTCTTTTCGAAGTAGGTTTTCAATTTTCAGAACCTTCGCCGGAATCGAGTTCTCCGAAGCGAATCTCGCCACCTCGCGTCTGTCCTACAAGCTTTGGCACCCCGACGAGGAGGGAATATCACAGGGCGAGGGCAGTCCGTGGCATCTTAAGAGCAAATGGATAGGCGGAAATCCATATTATGGAAAGGAATTCTCGGCGGTCAGTTTTCACGCGCTGAAAGTATATAAAACTGAAAAGTACGTTAAAAAATCATATTTTTTCTCTTCAGCTCCCGAACGTGCCGCCCTACTGGTCGTACGGCTACTTGAGCTTCAAGCAGGCGTTGGACGACACGTTTTTGAAGGTTGTAAAAAGTTATATAGCTTAAAAAATTGTTTAGAAAGCCACAAACGGAACGGCCGCGCTCGATAAAGTGTATCTACAACGATTCCCAGAACCGCCATTCCAAGAGCGTGGAATACAAGTTGGAAACGTTGAAGAAAATAGTGAAAAACTATTTTTTTAGCAATTCCTCGAGTTCCTTCCGGTCATCTACGCGTTCCTCATCTATCCCACCGTCCTCCACTTGGCGCGGGAGATTTCCGCGGAAATCGATGCCGGCTTGAAGGTGGAATTTCGGAGTTTGGCGCCAAATTGAAATTTTTAGGACTTTATGCGCGTGATGGGACTGAGTTCTTCCGTTTTCTTCTTGACGCACGGCTTCATCGCTTGGGTCAAGGCTGCGGTTATCTTCACCATTTGCGCCTACCCGATTATGACATCATTAGAGGTATTTAGAACCTTAAAAGGTTCTTTATTAACTTTTCTAGTTCGTCCCCTGGCATTTGGTGCTTGTCGTCGTCTATCTCTACTCGTTTGCCGTCATCGCATTCTCTATGCTATGCTCCTCGCTGCTCAAAACGTCGAATAACGTCTTGAAATGTATGGAAAAATTGGTTCTTTCCTGTTAGCGGGGGGAGTTAATTTTGGCCTATTTCGGTCCTTTTTCATAGCAAAGTTTTTGGAAGTTTTTTTTTACTTGATTTTTATATCTAAAAACGGTATAACAAGCTATAACATTCCTTTTTTTTGTGTTTATAGGGCATTCAACTTTCGAAAAACCTTATTTTTAGTGGCAATCGTCGCGTGGGTTGTGTCCGTCGGCGCTACATTCATCCGCCGTCCTTCCTTGGACCAATATGTCCATTGCTACTTCTATTCCCTAAATCTCAACCATGCCTTCCGATTGGCCATTGAGATCATGGCAGAGGCTTGCAATAGAGGTAAAACTGCTTTTACAATTTTTAAGGTTTTGTTCTGTTTTCAGAATACCACCTCGGCTGGCCGCAAATCTTCGACACGCCGAAGATAGCGTTCAATCTCTTTGGTGCAATGCTGATGCTTTTGGTGAGTTTTGAAGATCCGAAATATTTGACTAATTTTTAGATTGATTTCGTTTGGATGACAGCTGCAGCGCTGATCATTGACGATATCCGCACAAACGAGGAGAGCTACTTCCTGACGATTTTCAAGAAACGACAGGTAATATAGCTCAAATGCCTTGGAATTTAAAGCCATGATTTTAATAGCATTTTTGATGAAGACCATATTCAACGCAGAAAATCGATCAAGCAAATCCACAAATCTCCGAATTCTTGCTGAAAATTGGCCATTTTTGGTCGAAGTTCGCGTTCTTTTGTGGCTTGAAATAAAAATGTAACGACTCTGCTGGGCGCAATTTTCTGCTGCAACAAATCCTTGGCGATTTTTAGGGCCTTGTTGACGCGAAAAAGCCGCACTTTTTGAACCCAGAGTGACTCACTAGCGGCCGAGCAATCAAGCGGGCCAGATGGTGTACGAAAAGCCGCCCAGCATCCATTTTATAGCGCCGCAAAAATCGGGGCTCTTTTTGAGGGGCGTGGCGTAGGCTTTTCAGCGCGAAAAAGGAGGGTTTGAAAATGCGAAAATATCTGAAAAAGGAGAAAAGAATAAGAAACAAAAAACTAGAGGAAAAAAGTGAATTACGGCTAAAATATTGATTTAAATGAAATTTCCAAACCAATTTACAAAATTTCAGAACAATACGACAATCGGAAATGGCCGTCGAAACCCAGAATTGGAGGATCAGATCGACTTTGTGCGCCAGGAGTCCGGGGCTGATATTCGAGTCGACGGACTGCGGAAGATGTACCACACCGGAAACTGGGCGCTTGAGGGCATGAATTTGAGGGCGAACAGGGGACAGGTAGAATTATTTAATATATGAATTGATGTGATGAATACCAGAAAAAAAAAATATTTTTAGCCGTGAAATTGGCAACGGAAATTTTTTAGATCACCGTCCTTCTTGGTCACAACGGCGCCGGCAAGAGTACCACGTTCAGCATCATTTGCGGCCTCATCGAGCCGACGCACGGTAGGCTAGCAGTGATTTTTGCGCCAGTTACTGTAAAAATTATGCTCTTACCCTTCTTTTTTAGGCGAAGTCCACGTGACCGAGAAGCCGGTCGGCCTGTGCCCGCAGAAAAATTCGCTCTTCGACAAGCTAACGGTCCGCGAGACGATCTGGTTCTTCCACCAGTTGAAGGGCAGCGATACCGACTACAAACAAGAAACGGACGAATACCTAAAAGCCCTGCATTTCGAGGACAAGGCTGATGATGTCGGTTTTTGGATCTTGTGTACTAGCGGGGGGATTTGCCTCCAGATCCAGATTTTCCGGATTTGTTAATGAGCTAGAGTAAAATTCAGTTATATTTAAAACGAAAAATTTTAAAGGCTTTGAAAGTGTCTGTAAATTTGAAATTTGGCCGAAAAATCGTGATTTTTATGCTTGATATATACCGGAAAATTGCCCCCCCCCGTTAATGCATAAGAACCCAGTTAAGACATAAATACAAGAAAAACTTACCTATCTTTTTTTAGCTCGTCCAAAACCTGTCCGGCGGCACGAAGCGGAAGCTGTGCGTGGCGGTGGCGATTTGTGGAGAATCGCAGGTATTTTTAAAGGGATTTGGACCGATAAAACGTTCAATTTTAGGCGGTTCTCCTCGACGAGCCGACAGCTGGAATGGACCCTGGAGCAAGGAGGGACGTCGAGAATCTGTTGCAACACATCAAGCCCCATCGGTAGAATCAGCTAATCTGGTGGTGAATATCGCATTTCCAGAACGATCCTCCTGACGACCCACTACATGGATGAAGCCGAGAGATTAGGAGATTGGATTTACATCATGCAGGCCGGGAAGGACATCATAAATGGATCCCCGGGATACCTGAAAAAGCAATATGGAACCGGCTTCGTGTTGACGCTCGTCTCGGCAGCTGTTGTCGGAGGGAAAGCTGCCGATACTGCCACGCCGGTCACGCCTGAAGATGTGAGTCGAACAGATAGATTACGGTATACGGGGTATCCCAATAAAAAAATGCGCCCTTTAGTGGACCGCAGTGATATCCGATTTTCACGATTTAGATATCTATCGAAATCTCTCAAAAAGGCGAGTCCAGCACGGCTTTCCGATTTTGGAAACTCCGTAATTTTCCTTACTCCCATTTTTTCGAAATTGTCTGATTTTTGTGCTTTTCCCCCCATGCAAGTCTTTTTAACAAAACCCCATTGTCCAAATTTTTACATCTTCTCTGGCAGCCCCTGGCCGACTTTTTGAAAGGTATCTGAGAAAACACAGTTTGGTTGGCGATTAAATTGGTTAAATTGGGTTTTTGACAAAAAAATTGCGGGCCCATTTATGCCAAAAACAATGCCAAAAAGCGAGTCAAAAATGTCGGGAATTCGAAAATCGGAGGGAACTGTGCTGGCCTCGCCCCTCCGAGAGCTTTCGATAGATACCTAAACCGTAAAAACCGAACGATTCTGCGGCTAGCTAGTTTTTTTTGGACACCCTCTACTGTATAACTGCCAATTTTTAGGTGATGGCCCTTGGAGACCGTGTGGTGACCGTTTGTGCGAATGTCATCGGAACATCCGCCTCGACTTTCGCGAGAGGAAAACCCAGGGGAAGACAAATTGAAATCACGATCCCCACCGAATATAAGGAGCTCTTCCCCGAGATGTTCAAATGGTAAAAATTGCCAAGCAATTTCAGGTTAAAAATTTGATTTTTTTAGGGTTGAGAGGGAAATCAACGTGGTGCGCCCGAATCAGGCAGTTTTGCTGAGTTTTGGAGTGTCGCTGAACACGCTCGAGCAGATTTTCTTGAAGGTACGCGGCAGAGGTTATTGAGGGAATTTTGGGGTACTAGACTATTAGCGGCGGGAGGGAAGCTTATTATGTTTTTTCGCCTTCTATACCTGTTGATATGATGTTTTTATAGTGTTTTTTTGTGGTTCTAATGGTTAGAATGTTCTTAAAAAATTGAATTTTTGCAATTTTTACCCTTTTTCCATTTTTCAAACATTATTGAGCAAAATGAAAAAATTGCGAGAATTTTTATGATTTTTGGGTCGGTGTTTTTGGCTCTAAAAATTGTGTGGAATGCTATAAAAATGGTTTATGTTTCGTTATAGGGTATATCGGCTTCCCCCGCCATTATCCCCCCCCCCGCTATCAGCCCAGTGCCAAATTTGGTAATTTATTTATTTTTTTAGGTCGGTGAACTCGGAGAGAAAGACGCGGCCAAGCAGCAGAACCAGCAGCAGCCGGCCATTGATGGCCCAAACATTACGGAAAACTGGGTCAGGAAAAACCGGAATTTTTTATCCATATTTTAGACAAATGACACTCTGCGCCGCAAATCTGGCCCCTGTCTCTGGGCCCACCAATTCCGATATTTACTGTGGAAACGGTGGCTGTACAGCAAGAGAAATATTTCGCAATTTATCACCCAGGTCGGTTTTTAATTATTATTAAAAGTAGATTCTTTCGTCTTATCGGGGAGCGCTTTTTCTTAGGGCTTAGTTAAATAACGAGTTTTACTATTCCCAAACGTCAAAACTTTACAACTTTTATCCAAAAATACAAAAATAACGATTTTCGGCCGAGAAATGACCGTTTGCTGACCAAATTTCGACTTTTCGAATTTTTTGAAGTTTTTCGACAGTTTTCTAGTTTCATAGTTTTATTTTACTTTAAAAAGACCGTTAACTTACTAGGTAGGCATTTTTAGGCTTATAGCAATCACAAAAAATTTCTTGAAATTTTATTTTTCAAAGATTTTTATGATTTTACCTTTTAGCAAAATATTTTTTAGGTTTTCCTGCCAATCCCCCTGGTGCTGCTGGCCTGGGCTGTGGGCAACAGATTCGCCGATGGGCCCGGAAAAGAGGTAATTTTTTACAGTAATTTTTTGGGTGGAATTAAATAATTTTTGTAGGTAAATTTTTCCGTTCTACGTCATTTTGACGGCTCTAAAAAAAATTTTTTTTTTGCAGTTCAACCTCGCGAAAGACCTCGATTTGACGGCCGTCTCCCCGATCAAATGCACGATGCAAGCGGACCCGAATCGAACACGACACGAAATTGACGTCTATCAGAATTACCTGAAAACGCATTGCGCTCAATTTCTATGGATAGACGCGAAGACGTCGTTTGACCAGCGGATATTTGATGTGAGATTTTCAGGGCTGGAAATTGGGTACTGGACTCTTAGCGGGGGGGCTAATTTTTTGTTTTAAATTTTGAAAACTCCATATTGATTTTTTGGTCATTTTTCATACATTTTTACGTTTTTATAATCATTTTTATGAATTTTTGTGTATCTAGAAACTGTATAAATTACTATAAAAATGGATTACATTTCGTGATAGAGCCGTACGGGATTATTTTGAAAAGCTTGGGTTTCTCCCGCTGAGCCACTCCCCCCACCTCTAACAGTCCAGTTCCAAAATTTGGGCTTTTATCGAGATTTTGATGTATGATATACTGTAAGATTTAAAGCATTCTTTAAAACTCACAATTTCAGGAACCAAAATACCTGCCAGCCCTTGGCGTCGGTGTTCGTCTACTGGCCGACGGGACGAGGGCCATTTTCAACGCTCATGGATATCACACGGCCCCGGCTGCCATGCATCTTGTGGCCAATGCTAGGCTACGGCACTTTACGTCAGTTTTTTATCGGGTTCCGGAGCAAAAAGCAAAAAAAAAGGCGTGGCCGGGAATCAAACCAGGGCCCTAAGGATTGTAGGCCGAGGCGCTAGCCACTGAGCCATAGAAATGATACCAAATAGCTACGAACTACAGATTTGGCCCGATCTTTCTGGTTCTAAAGGGGGTGGAAAGTGCGAAAATCTACCCCTTCCATCAACTAGGTCTCGACAGCTACGCAATACACCAAATAGCGCGCAAAAAGTCGAACTTTGATGCCGTTTTGTCGTTCCTAGCGGCCATTAAATGAGAAAGAAAACGCGTCATTATGCGTCTCGCGTAGTTGTCTAGACCTAGCGGATAGGGGTCGATGCTGGTAGTTCCTAGTTCCTTTAAAACGCTTAACATCCTGTTTCTGGCCAGAAAAATGATCTGATTTTAGCGGCAAACCCTCGGCGTCGATCCACTCGTCCATCCAAGTCTATGCCCCGCTGAAAGATGCTCGTCAACATCAAGCCGATGCGGCGGCCGAAGATCAAGTATCGCAATTATACCTTTTTGACCCGGTTTCTTTTAGGTGAAAAACTTCCTGCTGATCCCGGTGTTGATCCTGGCCTTTTCGCTGGTCTCCTCCACCTTTGTCATGTTCCACGTCGAAGAGCGAGCCTCGCATTTTAAACATCAGGTATAGGAATACTGTAATTTTCATTAGGGGAATGACACGGTTCGCCCGCCTTGCGTTTTCATGGCGCAATCCATTACGCAATGCAATCCATAGGGAATAATTTCATATTTGAAAAGTTGCTAATTAGTAATAAAGCGTGGATTGTAATTCAAAGCAGCTAATTCCAAATTTTACGCATTCAAAGCCTAAAAAGTCCATAGCAATGGCTTGCCCGTTCCTTTAAAGAGACGGACAAACCATTATTTTCGATTTTGATCTCCATGAATTTTTCCACCCCGCGATACGCAGCGCACACGCTTATAGACCAGCTTGAAAACGTTGTGAATCACTGCGCTATGGTACGACTGGCGTACGAGTTGCTTGTCGCGGCCGCTTCAAAATCCGTCGAGTCCATACCCGCAAAATATTGCACTGCCTTGATCGGCCCTTTAAAAAGCGCATAACGGCGGAAATCGCAATTTTTCCGGCGAATGTGAATTTTGACACATTGATAAGACCTAAAATTCCTTTTAGCAACTCCTGACAAAACTCCACCCGTCGCTCTTCTGGGCCTCCTCCCTCCTCTACGATGCCGTCATCTTTTTCACCGTCTGCTTGGTGTCAATCGGAGTTTTCTATCTGGCCGGTTGGATGCAGGGAGCACTACAGTAGTAAGCATTAAAAATTATAGAAAAGTGAAATTTTTAATAAATTCAATTAAGAAATTTAAGCCAGATTTTTTTATTTAAAAAATTACAAATACGATTTTTTTAGCGTGTTCCTGCTGTGGGCGCTGTATTTCTGGGCTTGCTGCCCGTTCATCTACTCGGTCTCCTATCTCTTCGAGAGCCCCTCAAAGGCCAGCACTCTGCTCATTCTTTGGCAGGTAAGAGAAATTAGAATTTGACTGTAATACGGTATTTTTTTCAGCTGATCACCTCGATTTTTGCCCTGATCGTCGAGGCCATACAGTTCGCCATGGCACCCGAGAGTTCCGACTGGACGGGCGTGAGTTTAATTCTAATTTTGAAAAAATTTGAGAGCAATTGACCACTTTAAACAAGATCTTTCAACATTTTACGAAATTTCGAAATTTTTGGAATTGTTTGACATTTTCAGGACCGTTTTGTCGCCGTATTTTCTAAAATCTGGTCTATGCATTTTTTTGCGTATTTTAGCGTCCGAATAATGAAATTTCGAAGATCCTTTTGGTTTCATTTTCGAAATTCTGATCAATTTTTCAAAATCTGCTGCATTTTTACAGCATTTTGATTGTTTTAAATTTAAAAGAGCGTTTTCGACGTTTTTCTAAAATCTGATATATATAGAGAGCGACCGAAAGTTGCACTTTTTTGAAATTTTAGAAATTAAAAAGGCGATTTAACCGTACTTTCGAAATTTTCATCATTTGAATATTTTTACAAAATTTAGATTTTTAATCCGCAAAAATTCGACCGAGTTGGTTAGTTCTATTTCCTTGAAAGTTCCCCCGGTTTTTTTTGTTCACGCTTTGGGACCAATTTTCGATTTATTTTTATGATTTTTATTAGGGCATTTTTCAGACGTTCCTGGTATTCCTGCTGCCGCCATACGCGATGGGTAATGGAATGAAGGCGATAGCCATGTGGAAGGTCTTCCGCGAACTGCCGCCAGATTTTGCCAGCTTTGGGTCGACTTGTAACCGAACTGATCTGTGGGCCTGGTGTATGCTGGGTAGGTTTTGGGATTTTTATCGTATTGATTATTTTTATTAAGATTGACTTTATATGTGTTGATTTTTTGTATGGCAAGCTAGCAAAGTAAATTTAGGAAAATCCAATTTTTCGTTTAAGGGCCTTTTGAAACATTTTAATTTCAGGCTTTGGGCAGGTTAGCAAGGTTTTTTTGGGATAACAATTTATGGTCGGGTTTTTGGGCTCATTATCGGCCGGGGCAACTAGTAGAGATTTTTTAGGAAAATCGATTTCAAATGGCCTTTTGGCAATTTTTTGGGCAAGCCAGCAGAGTTTCTTGGGTCTGGGTTCCCGGGCAGACTGGCAGAAAGCTGTTTGGAGGATCGAGAAAAATTAACCGGTGAAGGCTAACAAAGGCCTTTGAAGCGGAATTTTTGGGCAGGCTAACAGAGAGAATTTAGGCGCTTAAATTCGTACAATTCTACAAAGATTTTTGCTTTTATAAAAACCTTGCATACTTTTGTTAGTCCGAATTCCCAGGAGGCAGGCTAGCAGAGACCGTTTGGACATTTTAGCAATATTTTATCTTCGCGAATGAATATTTTTGTCTTTATAAATAGCTAGCAGATATTCTTGAGGCAGAATTTCTAGGCAGGCTAGCAGAGGCAATTTAGGAACCTCAAAAATCTCGATTTCAATCCGGAATTCTATTTTTCTTAGTTTTTGACACTGGAAACACCGAATTTTGCAGGCCGCCCCGCCGCGATGATGTTCTTCTTCGGGCTGGCGAGTTGGGTGCTATTCGTGTGCCTCTCCTCTCGTCATATCAGCCGTGGATTCTCCACCCTTTGGGGTCATATCCCATTCAAGAATGCCCCTCCAAGAATGGATGGAGAAAGAGATGTGGATGTGGAGAATGAGGAGAGATATGTCGCCGAGCCACTCATTTCCAGGCCTCAGCTTGTCGTACGTTAATTTCAGATTTTTATACCGTAATTAAATTTAGATTTAATTAAATCAATCGAATTTAGGTGCGAAAACTGAAGAAAGTGTATGGATGGAACTTTTCGAAGCCGGCCGTCAATGAATTGACGTTTGCTGTCGATAAGGGACAATGCTTCGGATTGTTGGGTAAGTTTTTTAGAGGATGGGCGGAGATTTTTGGGGAATTGGCAAAAAGACTAGCAGGATTATTGAGGAAAATTCTTGTGGAATTAAAGCTAGTTATGGAAAGTCTTTGAGAAATTTTTTAGGTACTATTCAAGTCGGGGGGGGCAAAATTTTTCGGGTCATTTTTGGGCTAATTGGTCAGTTTTTCTCTGGCTTAGGCTTAGCTTAGCTTAGTATTGGCTTGGCAGGCTTTAGCTTAGGCTAAGCAACAGGGCTAGGCTTAGAACTAGTTTAACCTAGGCTTAGGCCTATGCTTACAAGGAGACGTTTTTAAGTGTGAATGGAGTTTTAAGTTGAAACCAGGCCTATTCTGTGCAGAATTTTGCGCTGATTCCGATGCTGTTTTCCAATTTTGCTAAATAGCTCGATTTAAAAAGTTACAGCTATTTTAAGACAATTTTTAGGCCCAGAGTAGCCATATGCTATGCTGTGCTACTTTTTTGTTATAACGTTTTAATTTTGTTTAAGTAGCCTATCTTGTAGAGAATTTTTTTCTGATTCGAATGGTAGATTTGATTAGTGCGCTACTGCCGATCGACGATGGCTTACAGGGGTGAGAAATAGGCTGTTTTTCACCATTTCCCATACAAAAATCGCAGCCCATACCAAGTATCGTCGATTTTTTCGATTTTCAACAATTTTGAGTTAAATAGCTCATTCGATAGAGAAAATTTTTCTGAATACGGTGACGATATTTATTTTTGGAAAAACAGCCGGGAAAAGCAGTATAATGGTCCCTAAAGAGGGGAAAATTTAAGCTAAAATGATCTTAAAATTGCTATAACTTTTGAAATCGAGCTATTTAGAGAAATGGAAGACATATTCGGAATCAGCGCAAAATTCTGCACAAAATAGGCCTGGTTTCCACACAGAACTCCATTCACACCAAAAAACGTCTCCTTGTTAGCCTAACCTTAGTACCTGGTCCTTAGCTTGGCTTCGTCACAGCATCACTGCTTTTGGCTTCGACTTAGCTTTGTTCAAGCTCAATTTAACTGTGCTTCGGCTTAGCTGAGCTTAGGAGTTAGGTATTGCTCTGGATTAGCCACGAAAAACTGATCAAGTAGCCTAAAAATGACCTAAAAAATTTTGCCCCCCCATCTTGAATAGTACCATTTCCTATCCTATAAGCGAGAAAAGTATGTGTGTTTTCTGTAATGACGATTTCTCGGCCGTCCGGCCGAATTTCCAGATGATTTTTGTTATGGAGGTGGAGAAACACATCCTCTTTATACGCATTTTTTTGTTTTTCGAAATTCCTTAATTTATCGATTTTACAAGCCAATTAGTGAAAAACTCTTAGTAATTTGGTCAAAACAAGGTTTGTTCAGAGGCTATCTCGATTGCCCGATGGAGTTAGACTCTGATTTTTGGTGGGTCGATGGATAATGCAAATATCTCGATACCATTTTTTGGATTTTTGTTAATCATTTAAAATAAGGTTTTTATAAGCATTTTTCTAAAAAATCCTTAACAAAATGGCCAAAGTGCCGTGATGTCCGGACCATAACTCGAAGCCCAGATGGAATTTCGGGCTGTAATTTGGGGCACTTATGTAATCGATGATGGGGATCACGCGCATCTTATTATTTTCACAAAATTTTGGCAGTTTCAGACTAAAAAATCGAATTTTGTAAAGTGACCAGAAGGCATCCCTCCCAGCTCTAATTTCTTTACCGCTGCCCGGGGCGGACCCGCCCCCAAGACAGAAAGAGGCCATTGCCGTCCCACCTCCCATCTGTACTGCGGTGTAGTGGATTGGGGCGGGGTCAACCACGCACATGCTCGAGGGTTCAGATCCTCGGCCCAATTAAATTTTTGCTTTTTGGTAGTTCAGCAAAAAAAACTTATCTTTAGGCTCAAGGTGTGCGGGGTTTCGGCCTGGCTTTCGCTCTAGCGCCGCAGGCCAAAGAAAAGGTCCTTGACCCAGGCTCTCGCGCCGCAGGCCGAAGAAAAGGTCCTAAGCCCAGGCTCTGGCGCCGCAAGCCAGATCCCAGGAGGGAAAAACCAGTAACTAGCGCCGGAGGCTCAAGGATTCTAGCGCAACGCTGGCTCTTGCGCCGCAGGCCAAAGAATGGCTCAATGACTCAGGTTCATGCGCCGCAGGCTAAAAAGAAGGTATTTAAATTCACGGTTCCTGGACGGGATCCAGTGGAAAAGGGCCGCGAAGCGGTCTTTTTCCACTGGTTTTAATATATTTTCCTCGTTTTAGGAGTGAACGGAGCCGGAAAAACGACGACCATCGACATCATCACCGGGCTGAGATACGCGACAAGCGGAAGTATCGAAATTCTCGGCGAGGATGGACCAACTACCGTGGTAAGCTATTTACTCGATTTTTTTCAAATTTATTGATTTTTTAGCCAATCGGCTACTGTCCACAGTTCGATGCCGTACTACTCGATTTGACGGGAAGAGAGACGCTCGAGCTGATGGCCTGTTTCCACGGATATAAGGAGCCGGAGAAGATTGCGAGCGAGGTGGGAGAATTGATCGTTTTAAGCGTAGGGAATCTAGAATTTTTAATGTAAAAATGTAAAAATTGATTTTACGACAATTAAAAAAAATTTTTGAAATGAAACTTGAAATAATTTGCTCGCTTTTAGGCGTAAACAATACAGAATTTTGTAGTTCTTATCGAAATTATAGTAAAACTGGTCTTCAGGAAAACCAGAAAACACACTAATTTTTGCGATTTTTCCGATGTAAAAATTCTGAATAGGTTTTTCGATCGTTTTAAACTTAAATGTTTATGCATTTTTTTTCAGGCTCTAAGCGCCGTGGGAATGCTCGGCCACGGCGACAAACAACTCCGCTATTGTTCCGGTGGCCAAAGGAGGAAGATTTCAGTCGGAATCGCGCTATTGGCCCAGAATACTATTCGAGTATTAGATGAACCGACAGCTGGCATCGATCCAAAGGTATCCAAATGTCTAGTATGAAATTCATATTTAGGCTCGACGCGACATCTGGAAATATTTGAATCTGGGAAATCAGGCAGAGACAGCCCAATTATTGACATCTCATTCGATGGATGAATGTGAAGCATTATGCACGAAAATAGCCATTATAAGCAGAGGGAAAATGACTGCTATTGGGAGTAGTCAACATCTCAAGTCAAAGTGAGTGATTTTTTTTGAATTATCTGCTGGTTTTAAAGGGATTGGCAAGGCAAGATTTTTCGCGCCGCGACACGCAACGCGCTTGTTAATTTTCCGCCATTCTCGATTACGCAGAAATTAAGATCTTTAAATTCGAGCAAACCTGCGCGTTGCGTGTCGCGGCAGCGGGGGCCTCGAAAATCCATGGCCGAAAAATCAATAGATTTGGCCTTGCCAGTACCTTTAAAATCGTGAATTTGCTCTCTTTATTAGCGTACCATTTAGATTCTCGTTTTTCAGATACAGCAGCGGCTATTCGGTGACGGTAGTGTTGGCGGGGAAGAATGTGAAAGAGGCGGCGGCCCTCCATGGTGCGAACAGATCGGAAGAACATCGGAAAGTTGTTGAGCGAGTGGATGATGCGATGAAGCAGACATTCTCCGGGGCTGTCATGCGAGAAGCCGGCGAATCGCTCACCGTTTCTTGGCAGGTAACCAAATTTTTGTCTTTGATCTTGAAAGGGATGAACACACCTCGAAACAGGGTTTTTTTAGTTTCTTTTCTTTTGATATTTCAGCGAAACCAGGACTCGAAACACGCAGAAAAATTAACTTAGTTACAATAAATTGGTTAAAATTAACTAATTTTTAATGATGTTTATTTAGATCCCAGCGACCGCTACAACCACCTGGTCGTCATTGTGGCAGAAAATGGTCGACCTGGCGCCACGAGGGAATAATCTCGGTCGGTTTGATAGTTATTAAAATCAAAAAGTTTTGAAATTTTATAATTAAAGCCCCGGCAGGCAGCTAGCAGATTTTATTGGGGAAAGTGGAAAGGTTTTCGGGGAAGTTAGACGAGTTTCTTCAGGAACACCGTGGGTTTTTTTGCGAAAGGCAGGCTAGCAGAGTTCAATGAGAAAGTACGATTTTATTAGAGTTTGTGATTGATGAGTGAAAATATTTAGCTTTATTGCCAGGGCAGGCTAGCAGAGTTCATTCAGGAATGCCAATTTTTCGAGTTTTTGTGATTTTTAGTCGAAATATGTAGCTTTATTTGGATAGTTTTCCATTTTGCCAGTGTGTTTTGCCGATCGCCATGGCAGGCTAGCAGAATTCATTGGGGAAAAGGGATATTTTTAGGGGTTTTGGAGGAGTTTTTACGCCTTTTTGGCCTTAAAATATGCCGATTTTTGCAGAGATCGTGGACTACAGCATCACGCAGTGCAGTCTCGAGGATACGTTCCTCAATCTGTTGGGCAACGAGCAGAGGGCCGACCTGGAGATGGACAGCAGAACCAGAGCAACACCACCAACCCAAGCCGCTTCATCTAATGCATAATTTTTCTTCTCATTTCCACCACCAAATATCCCTGCCAAAAAGCATACTGATGAGTTGGCCAACCTCTCACTACCGGTTCATTCATTTCACTTTGCGGGAAATTGAACGGTTTTTCAAAATTAAAACAATGTATTAATTTTAAAAATGTACAAATGTAAAAATTTCGAAAATTTTGAATTTTTTGTTTTAAAAAATGAAGAAAACGTCAAATTCCCCCGTTCGAAAGGCCAGTAAAGCTTTTGCTGAGCTTCCGCCTTGCCCCAATCGCTTCCCGAGTGCCTGTAATATGCATATTCGGCTCGTGCATCTTTGTTTCTCTTTTTTTTGGTGCAATTTCTCGTCTTCTTTTATGTTAGAGCCTCTCATCTTTGTAAATACCTACTTATAAACCCCCGATTTACATTCCTCCACTTTGCCTTTTAATAATATTAATTTATTACCCCCTCCTTTCGCCGAATTCCTCTAAAAGCTTTAATGACTTCCCATTTTTGGCCCGGATGCACGAGCTTTCGTTCGTTCTCACTTTTGCATAAATTGTTGCGATTTTTGAGTATTTTTTAATGGCATGCTAACATTAAAAAAGTACTTTCTGACGGCAATTTACATTTTGTTGAGTTTTTATCGATCTTCTTGAGGCTTGACTGGGAAGTTTTCCTATTGAAGGAAAAGAGAAATAAAGCTGGCCTTTGCGAGGAATTGGCTAAAGTTTCGATTTTGGAATTGGATTTTATTAAATTGAATAAATAAAATCAAGTTTTTCTGATTTTACAAAATGCAAGCTGTGAAAATGCATGATCATGACATCATTTCAAGGTTTGGGTGAGTTCAGCGGGGGATGCTGGCAAAGAATCCTTGCGGAAAACGTCTCACGAAAGCGCGAAATTTGCAAAACCGAAACAGCGGCCCAAACACTCGAAAAGAAAACACTTTTTAAGCGGCAGCAAAGAGCCGAATTCAGCGGATTGGGCGGGAATTTTTGGAAATAAAGTTAACTTCGGGCCAGCTGGCAGGGAACCTTGAGGGGCTATCACAAAGCTAAACCCCCACTTCTTCGGTTCCCAGGTTTTAGGCTGCGATCCCTTAGTTTTTAGCCCGTAGGATTGACCATTTTTGACTTCGCAGCCCCTTTCAAAATGCTTTTTTTCAGTTTCATTGTTCCAGAATTGATCACGTACGGACACCGAACAAACATGAATCTGCCAGGGGCGGAAATCCTATCCTATAAGCGAGAAAGTATGTCTGTTTTCTGTAATGATGATTTCTCGGTCGTCAGGCCTAATTTCCGGCTGATTTTTGGCATGGAGGTGGAGAAACGCATCCTCTTTATAAGAATTTTTTGTTTTTCGAAATTCCTTCATTTAACGGTTTTACAAGCAAAATAGTGAAAAACCCTTAACATTTTGGCCAAAAAAAGGTTTGTACAGAGGATATCTTGCGATCCAAATGGAATTCAACACTTATTTTTGGACGGCAGATTGGAAATAGGATTCTCCCGATATATAATTTTGCGTTTTGTCAGATTTGTAAAATAAAGTTTTTATGAGCAGTTTTCCAAAAAATTCCTTAACAAAATGGCCGAAGTGCCGTGGTGTTCGGGCTTAACTCGAGACCCAGATAGAATTTCAGGCTGAAATTTGGAAAATATATGCAATCAAGGCTCGGCCTCACGCGCATCTTACTATCTTGATAAATTTTGAGAAGATTCAGGCTCAAAAATCGAATTTTGTAAAGTGAACAGCGTCCCTCCTCCCGGGATGGTTGGGTCGCCCATGGTCCGCGTCGCCCACGCGTGTGGTCGTGGGTTCGGATCCGGGGGCGAATTCAGCTTTTTGCTTTTTGGTATTTCAGTAACAAAACATATTTCTAGGCTCTCGGAGTTCGAGGTTTAGGCCTGGCCCTCGCTCTAGCGCCGCAGGCCAAACAAAAGGTCCTTGGCCGAGGTTCTGGCGCTGCAGGCCAAAGATGGGTCCATGAACCAGGCGCTTGATCTAGGCTCTCGCGTTGCAGGCCAAATCCTGGAGAAAAACCAGTAACTAGCGTCGCAGGCTCAAAGATTCTAGCGCAACGCAGGATCTGGCACCGCAGGCAAAGGAATGGCTCCTTGACTCAGGTTCTTGACTTCAAAAGAAGTTCAATTGCATGGTTCCCGGACGGGTAAGGGGTCCATTTTTAAGAGGTACTTCTGATAAGAAAAGAGAGAGAGAGAGAGAGAGTGAGCGAGAAAGAGAGTGAGCGAGAGAGAGGTGGTGCAAAGTTAGATAACGGATGACCCAGGGTTGTCCGGAAGATGCAGTACACCCTATCGACCGCTCGGGCTTCTCTGACATAAGAAATGTCACCTATTTTTGTTAAGAATAAGGAATGCGTCACCAGACTTACCTAATGCAATTAAATCTCCCCACGCGAGTTGCGACTGATAAGATAGGTCAATATTCCTTTTTCTTACTTGGCCAATTGGTTGGGTTCTCGCTTTCCAATCTGACGGTCCAGGTTCGACCCCCGCCGTTTACGAACCTTACGAAAAAATGGTTTTTAGCATTTACGAACCCGATTTTCCTGCTGTTTTTCCGGCTTTTAGAAAGTTGTTCCACGGCGTTGCTCTTATCAGTTTTCGGTTTTCTTGGCGCTCACGAATTCTTTTGCCAGAATTTTATGTCGATTTTCCGTTGACCGAATTGTTTAATAAATTCCAGGACTGGCAGTGGAGGCTCGATAAATATAATTTGAGAGAATTGATCTTCTGCATTCCCAAACATGCCAAATCAGGAAACAACGAATCGACGTGGTCTCTCTTTTTGGGATCAATTCCGCTTGCTCACGCAAAAAAATGTGAAACTGTTGTGGAGGAATAAGGTTGGGATTCGCCTTGTCGCGCACTGCCAAATTGAAGAGGGGTAGAGTCTTGGGAAAGATGATGCAAGAAAGGGTTCGTTCGTTGGCGGGAACGGAGCATAATAAACCTATATCTCTAAATTCCTTAGATAAGATAAATGCTTAGACTATTCTTAGTGGTCCCGGTAGCTAAACTGGTATAAAAACCAAAATGCTAAAATCCGTAAAAACCTGAAATTTTTCTAAATTTTCCAGACTGTTTTGAGCAACAAGTTTCGGAATCTCGAATTTCCGGAAAGTTTTACTAATTTTTGAGTAAGTGATAGAGGAACGTCGTCAAATTGTGGATCGCGTAAAAAACGAAGAAAAATCCAGATCCATCCCCTTCATTTAGGCGTGGACAACGGTGGAAATTGTGATCCCGCTACTCCTCTCGATACCCATCGTTTATATGGCGCAGGAGGTCGGATTTTGTTAATTAGCTTGCAGTATTTTGAAATCCCCAATACTTCCTTTAGCCTCTAATAATTTTAGATGAATAAAAAGGCTCCAGATATCACTCCGGCGGCAAGTTACCCGCCCATCGAAGTATCCGGAGATTGGGCTGATTTTAACAGGTTTTTGATCGAAGTTTCTCAGTTTTTTAGTTTCGTCTATTAGTCCCTACAAAAAACATTCAAGTTGCATTATTTTAAAACCAGTGGAAAAAGACCGCTTCGCGGCTCTTTTCCACTGGCCCCGTCTAGGAATCATATATTCCCCTTCCGTTTTTGAAAGCCTGCGGCGCAAGAGCCTGTCTCTAGGAACCATTCTCTGGCCTGCCGCGCTAGCTACTGATTTTTCTCCAGCATTTGGCCTGCGGCGCTAGTGCCCGGGCCAAGGACCTTTTCTTTGGCCTGCGGCGCTAGAGCGAGGGACTGGCCTAAATTTCGGATACCGAGAGCCTCGAAATATGTTTTGTTGTTGAACTATCAAAAAGCAAAAGGGCCGAACCCTTGTCCATTCGCACGGTAGCGCGCGCGCCAAACCACTATACCAAAGGGGGCACGGGGAGGGGTGGCGGGAAAGGTCCCTTCTGTCCTGGGGCCAGGGTTCAACCCGGCAGGGAAGACCTGGTGACTTTACAAAAATCGCTATTTTAGACCGAATGCACCAAAAATTTGCAAAAATAATAAGATGCGCGTGATCCCCACTATCGAATACATAAGTGGTCCAAATTACAGACCGAAATTCCATCTGGGCTTCGAGTTATGCCCCGAACACCACGGCTCGTCGCCCATTTTGTAAAATTGTTAAATCAAGGAATTTCGGAAAACAAAAAAATGCGTGTCTGGCAAATGTGTTTCTCCACCTCCATGCCAAAAATCAGCCGGAAATTCGGCCTGACGGCCGAGAAATCGGCTGCACAGCAAACACACATACTTTTCTCGCTTATAGGATAGGATACCGATACTCTTCGATTTAAAAAAAATCGAAATAGCTGTCAAAAAATTGTGCTTTTATGGCTGTTTCGTCAAAAATTGCAAAAAGAGCGAAATTCGCGATTGGTGAAAATATATATAATTTTAGAAACATCGGCTCCGTGGACCCGATGCTGAAAAAGAACTGTGGAAATTCCATTTTTCGAATGCTATATAGGTATCGGAGATTTTATCGAAATTATTTTTGGTTCTGGACTGTTAGCGGGGGGGGATAAATTTTTTGCAGGGGTTCTCTACGGCCTTAGAACAAATTATAAACCATTTTATGCCATTTTACATAGCTTGTAGTTATAAAAACAATGTGAAAAATTGTAAAAAATTGCAAAATTTTGGATTTTTGGTTGCAAATGTATGAAAAATAAACCAAAATTTCGAATTTTCAACATTTTCAAATAATTTTTTTAACTTTCTAGTGATCAAAAACAACTAAAATAAAAATAAAAAGCCACTTTTTATTATTAAGAGGCGGAATAATACCCTCCTCCGCTAATAGTCCAGCACCATATTTTTTTCATAGTTCAAGCGGCGGCTCATCGACACGTCTGGTCGACGACTTGATGGACGCATTTTGTCATCGGTATAACAATAATGTTTATGGTATGGCATGCGTGAGAGTGGACAGTGTTCAGGTAAGAAGCATCAAAGGGAAAAGTTATAGACTTCAGAGGATGCACGAATTGCTACGCAGGAGTCTCGTCAATGAGTCGTCTTGTGTTGTCAATGGGTTTGTGCTTGTTTTAATGTGGAAAAAACCTCCTTGATGTTCTTTTACTCTTCGACTTGGCTCTGCCATCTTGTTTACCACTTGATGCTCGTTATCAGATCGCTGCCGTACTTACAAGGAGACGTTTTTGAGTGTCGTCGGGACTTTGGCATGGGACCAAGCATATCTTGTGTAGAATTTTACGCTGATTCCGAATATGGTAACCGTTTTTGCGGAATAGCCATTTCTCGAAAGTTATGAACGATTTAAACCTCAAAACAGCCCAAAATCGGCTACTTTCGATAGTCATAAAAGGTTTCAGAATAGGTTTTAAACAAAACCAGATAGTGCATCTTGTTCAGAAAAAAATTCTCTATAAAATGTACCCTCTTCTCGAAAATCATTGAAAAGTTGGAAAAATGTGATAAATTGGGAGGCCCATAACTTTACAAAAATTTTCAAAATACCAACATTTTTGAGTTAAGTAGCTTATTTTATAGAGAATTTTTTTGAACAAGATGCACTATCTGGTTTGGTCTAAAACCTATTCCGAAACTTTTTTATCACTATCGAAACTAGCCGATTTGGGCTGTTTTGAGGTTTAAATCGTTCATAACTTTCAAGAAATGACTATTCCGCAAAAACGGTTACCATATTCGGGATCAGCGTAAAATTCTACACAAGATAGGCTTGGTCCCATGCCAAAGTCCCGACGGCACTCAAAAACGTCTCCTTGTTAGCGCAGTTGCCGCATTTTTAGCGCTACCCAGCACCCATATTGCGCCGTTCCCATTTAGCAGAGTATAGCAGTCAGGCTTTTGACCAATAGGAGTGGGGCTAAATCTTCTCGAAAAATGACGAAATATCGCAATGTGCGACAAATTTTCGCGATAATTTTCTGGTTGCCAACAGCTTTTGCGTCCAGCTTTTAAATATTTAAAAAAGTCACCAGAAAATGAAATTTTTAAATTCTCAAAAAAGCGCCAGCCGACGAATTCGAACATGCTCTTTCAGATGCCGTAAAAAACAGGGTCGAAAAGCTATGCCAAGCAATAATAGGGGTTGGTCGAGTCGCTTGCGAACGGCTCTTAAAGGGAACTTTTAAAATGCCTTGAAAGGAATTTCGAAATCAGCAAAAATACAGGGAAAGGACTTGAATTTATCAAAATTGGAACTGCAGCCTGTCTTAAAAATCAGCTGGACTGTAAGGAAAAGCAAAATAAAATTGCCTGAAACATCCTTTGGGCCCCCTACCCCGAGATCAGGTTTAGTATCAGTCAGGTGAAGTTCAAAATTCTCGTCGCCTAGCGTGAGCCAAGAGGTCTTTAATTGTGTTTCCTTTTTGAGCTGTTTCCACGGTTTGTGTCGTGATCTGGCGGAACAACCTATCTTTCTTTCTTCACCCAGTCGATGCGCGAAATTGCAGTGTATTCGGCGGCATCGAATTCACCGAAGTCGACTTGGGCACCGCAAAATTGGCCTATAAGCTGTGGCATCCGAATGAGGAGGATGTGAGAAAGACGAGCGCCTCATGGCATCTTCTCGAGAAATGGATCGGCGGAAATCCGTATTATGGAAAGGATTTTCAGGCGGTCGGTTTTAAATGGCAAAAAGCCACAAAGAATTCATCTTTCCGTGCCATAAAATAAACCAATTAAATGGAAAGACAAGACGGTCTTTAAATATCTAGATGATTTGCAGAAAAAAATAGAAAATTCTACTCTTCAGCTTCCCATCGCTCCGCCCTATTGGTCCTATGGCTATTTGAGCTTCAAGAAGGCGCTGGACGAGCTGTTTTTAAAGGTATCTTAGGAGGTAGTTACTTTATAAAATACATAGAAATACACAAGCCCAGGAGCTCGGATCGAGCCCTTTTACCTTCAACGATTTCCGGTGCCCGAATCGAAACAGCGCGCTATAAAAGTAACTAAATTTTCGGGAAAATATTCCACCTATGCTCAGGATTTCCTCCTAAGTCTGCCACTTATCTATGCGTTTTTAATCTTCCCCACCGTCATCCATCTGGCGCGCGAGATTTCGGCCGAAATTGAAGGCGGGCTGAAGGTGAATTTTTCTAGACGTCGGACCAGTAGGAGCGATATTTTCCAGGATTACATGCGCGTGATGGGGCTTCGATCAAAGGTTTTCTACATGACCCACGGCTTTGTCGCCTGGGCCAAAGCGACCGTCATTTTCACGATTTGCGCATATCCGATCATGTCACTGCTTGGTGTGGGTTTTTGCTAGCGTTTGCGAGTTTTTATTTTTTAGCCCACCAGTAAAATCCGAGCATTTTTCGTTTATTCAGGGTCACAGAAACTACATCTAGAATTTTTCACGAAGCCTTTTTAGCTGGATTTGGTTGTGAAAACGCGATAATTCTCAAGTTTCGAGCTCAGTTCTGAAACCAGCACAAATTTTTAGATTGTCTTTTGAGGGGAAAAAAGAAATGTAGAGCGGTGAAACGCCCCGACTACGGTAGAAGGGGGGGGCGGGATTGTTCCCGGTCCGGTCGGTGGGGGACGGATGATTGTTTTAACCATCAAATTTTGCACAAAAATGCCTGAGAACGGGCTTTTGGAGGTGACCACTGGGAATTTCAAATTCGCACGGTTCCCGCTCTCTGGGCGTGCAAAGGCCTCCGACGTACAGTGCTGCGGTTTTTGGGCCGTAACTCTTTTTCGACGTCTTTGTCGCTTTAAAAATTTGACACGGTTTTCATGATTCTAGTCGGTCCCATGGCATCTCGTCCTCTTTATCATCTACCTCTATTCATTTGCTGTGATTGCATTCGCTCTCCTCTGCTCATCGATAATGAGGACCTCATCAAATGTCATGAGGGGTATCGTTTTTATCGGAAAATTAACATAATAAAATATTCCTTTCTAGTAGCAATCATCGGCTGGATGGCGTCAATCGGTGCCGCATATATCCATCTACCCTCTCAAGACGAGATCTTTCAATGCTATTTCTATTCTCTGAATATCAACCATGCTCTTCGCTTGACTGTCGAGATTATGGCCGAGGCGTGTAATAGAGGTATTTTCTGGCCTTACCAAGGCTTCAGAGTCTAAAAAAACGTTTAGAATACCATCTCGGTTGGGTGCAAATTTTTGATAACCCGCTGACCTCGTTCAATTTGGCGGGCGTCATCGTCATGCTAATCGTGTGATTTTTTTGCTAAAAATCAGTTACGCTATTCAGTTTGACTTTTTGTGGATGACGTTCGTTGCCTTGATCATTGATGACATGCGGACAAACAGCGAGAGTTATTTCTTTACGTTTTGGCGAAGACGACCGGTTAGTCAGAACATTTTAGTATCATTTTACCCGGTCGATACCTTTGGTGTCACCGGTTTGAGAGGCTTTTGTTGCCCATACCCCTGGCGATAAGCCTGATATCGCCAGTTGGGAGGTGAACAACCGGAAACCATTATCAGCCAAACCCCGTTCCGTTGTCCCCTCTGCAAGCTACAGTCATTATATCTTCCCTTACAATAATTCAGAAACGGAAAAAGCAAAAAAATAGTTATGGTACGAAAACGAACAAAACGATAAAAGTGAGAATAAAAATTAGGACGAATAACTGTGGGCGAAATCCCGAGTACGGGACCTTTACGACATCTAACGGGCGGGGATACGGTCATATGGGCGCGCAATAGGGGTAGCCGACTAGAGTCTAGCCTTTCGCACCTCAACAATCCCCGAAAAGTGGCAACTTGTAAAATACACCCGGGCCACCCGTTTGCGTAGCTGCCCATAGCGTGTGTGGGTGGGCAGCTACGCAAACGTTTCTCTGCGTAGCTGCCCACCAACCACGTGGGTTGTCAGCTCCGCAAACGGGTGTTCCGGGTGTGCCGGGTGTACTTTACTAATTACCCCGAAAAGTTCTTTTCTTTGTAGAATGGCCCCACCGACGGACATTCACGCCGCAACACAAAACTCGACGAACAGATCGATTTTGATCGGACGGAAATTCAAGCTGATGTGATTGTGGAGGGATTGGGGAAAATGTACGCTACGGGAAATTGGGCACTTGATGGGATGAGTCTGAGGGCAGCGAGGGGACAGGTGAGGCGTCAGACAAAAAGTGAGAACATTTCCTTAGATCACGGTTTTGCTGGGCCACAATGGCGCGGGAAAGAGTACGACATTTGGGATCATCTGCGGGTTGATAGAGCCGTCGTATGGTAGGGAATTGGGAGCAATGCGCAGGTTGCCTTTAGGTGCCGTGGGAATATCGGAGCGACCAGTGGGGTTGTGCCCGCAGAAGAATTCACTGTTCGATAAACTGACCGTCCGGGAGACGATCCGGTTCTTTCATCGACTAAAGGGAAGCAGCACTAACTGTGATGACGAGATCAACGGCTATCTGCACGCACTTCGCTTTGCGGATAAAGCTGATGAGGTAACGATCAGATAGCTTGGTAGATCTGGATGTTGTTTGGAGTGATATTACCATTCTAAAAAAACCTCTTTCAGCTCGTCGAGAATCTGTCCGGTGGAACGAAGCGTAAGCTGTGTGTAGCCGTAGCGGCCTGTGGCGAATCTAGGGTATATTTTAAGGCTTATTAACTCCAAAAGATCATGTTTTTTGGGGCTCACGATCAGATTTTTCGATCAGTTCACTAAGGTCCAAAAATTTAGGTAGTTCTTTTGGATGAGCCAACCGCCGGGATGGACCCCGGCGCGAGAAGGGACATTGAAAATCTTCTACAGCAGATCAAACCCAATCGGTATTGTTTTTTAAAGGGCTAAATAAGCTGTGTGTCAAGGTTTTTTCGACAATTGGCGAACATTTTGACAGTTACCGTAGTTCTCTTCTCTCTCTTTTCTCTGAAAAGCGCTTTATCCTCTTCGTTCCAGAACAATCCTTCTAACGACCCATTACATGGATGAAGCCGAAAGATTAGGGGATTGGATATACATTATGCAAGCGGGGAGAGATGTTACCAATGGGTCACCAGAATACCTCAAGCACAAATATGGGACTGGCTTCGTGCTGACGCTCGTCTCATCAGCGGTTAATGAAAACGTGATTGCCGATTCGGCTACTACCGTTGCATCCGATCAAGTAGGCATCAGATTTTTTTCTGAATCCGTTTAGGTGATGGCGATGGGCGACCGGGTGTTGAGTGTCTGTGCAAATGCCATCGGCACATCAGCCTCGAATTTCTTGAGGGGACAGCCAAAAGGACGCCAAATTGAAATTACGATCCCGACAGAGTATAAGCAAAGTTTCCCCGACATGTTCAAGTGGTAGGGTATTATCGGCAGCGTCCGATGGTCCATAGGACGTTGTGTAACCAAGAAATCTTAGGGTAGAGAAAGAAATCAAACGAATCCGGCCTGGTCAGGCGGTGCTGATGAGTTTTGGGGTGTCTTTAAATACACTCGAGCAAATCTTCTTGAAGGTAGCTTAAAATTAATAACTTTGGGGCTGTTGAAAACTTTAAAGATATCTCGAAAAATTGCACATTTAGGTCGGCGAGCTAGGAATGGAAAAGGCTGGAATGCAACCGATACAAGAAGGCCCGAAAGCGACTGACCATTGGGTCCGGGCCAGAGGTCTAATAAACAGAAGGAAATCTTTAGGCGGATGATTCCCTTCGGCTAAATCCTGGTCCTCGTCTCTGGTGGCAACAATTCAAATATTTGATGTGGAAACGATATCTTTTTACGAAAAGAAATCTATTGCAGTTTTCCGGCCAGGTATTTGAAAACCGGAAGTTGACGGGTCCACTTTTCAGGTTACTTTCCCGATCGCATTGATTCTTCTCGCTTGTTTTTTCGACGGAATGAATGGACCCGACGTGAGAGTTTTCAAAGTTTTTTGTAGCTGTTGGTTTGACCGTAATACTTTTCTAAAGCAATTGGGCTTCGGGAAAATGTCTTGATTACAAAAACGTTTACATTACCGATTTTCCGTTGGTTTCAGGTTGGTCGATCAAAGGCCCTTGACTTCACAGCAGTATCCCCAATAAAATGCATCGTCCAATCAGACGAAAGCCGTCCCCGGCAAGAAGTCTCCATCTACCAGCAGTACCTAGAAGATCAGTGCGCGCGATTTCTGAAGCTCGACCCCGCGCGATCGTTTGAGGAGCAAATGTTTGAGGTGAGTTTTTTTTTTTTTTTAATTTTTTTTTTTTTTTTTTTTAGGTTTTTTTATTTTTTTTTTTTTTTTTTTTTTTTTTTAAAATTTTTTTTTTTTTTTTTTTTTTTTTTTTTTTTTTAATAAAAAAAAAAAAAAAAAAAAAAAAAATTTATTTTTTTTTTTTTGGGGTTAAAAAATAATTTTTTAAAAAAATTTAAAAAAAAAAAAAAAAAAAAAAAAAAAAAAAAAAAAAAAAAAAGAAAAGAATTTTTATTTTTTTTTTTTTTTTTTTTTTTTTTATTTTTTTTTTTTTTTATTTTTTAAAAATAAATAAAAAAAAAAAAAAAAATAAAAAAATAAAATTTAAAATAAAAAAAATTTTAAAAAAAAAAAATTTTTAAAAAAAATTTTTTAAAAAAATAAGTTTTTTGGAAAAAAATTTTTAAAAAAAATTTATTGAAAAAAGGTTGAAAAAAAAAAGGAAAAAAAAAAAAAAAAAAAAAAAAAGATTCTGCGTACTGGTTCAGGAGAGCTAGAACCAAAATTTATTTAGCTGGTAATTTTTTGTCAGGAACCAAAGCACCTGCCAGCACTCGGCGTCGGTGTTCGTCTGCTGGCCAATGGGACGCACGCCATATTCAATTCTTATGCGTACCATGCTGCCCCTGCTGCCATGCATCTTGTGGCGAATGCGAGGCTGCGGCATTTCACGTCAGTGTGCAGACAAAAAAAATTCGCTTATCCATATCCTTGAGTCTATACAGCTCGGCCCAAAAAAAAGTAGGACCGGGCCGTAACAACTCTAGCCAACCCCTTAGACCGCCTTTTAGTGGAAAAGTAACAGCCGCAATCCACTCATCAATTCAAATCTATGTGCCAGCCAATGGGAGCGAGAGCGCTTCAGAAGAGGAACGAATCGTACGCTCCAAAATTTTGCATTGAAAATTTGTCTGTTCTTAAGATGAATCGCTTCGTAATTGTCCCCGTGTTGATCTTGGCATTTGCCCTAACCACTTCCTCGTTCGTCATGTTCCACGTCGAGGAGCGCGCTTCGCATTTTAAACATCAGGTATTCGGACCCTATCACAAAGTAATGTACCCAATAGCAACTCCTCACAAAACTGCACCCCTCTCTTTTCTGGACGGCTTCGATCATCTATGACGGCGCAATATTTTTCTTCGTCTGCGGCGCGTCGATCATGCTCTTTTGGTACCACGGACTAATGAATGGGGAACTGCAATAGTGAGCCGAACAAAGACAATTACGGAATATTTTTAGCGTTTTGTTACTTTGGAGTCTGTATTTCTGGGCCTGCTGCCCTTTGATCTATTCAGCTTCCTACTTCTTTGAATCGCCGTCAAAAGCTAGCACTATATTGGTGATTTGGCAGGCAAGTTATCCGTATTTTTGGTATTTCTTTGTTTTTAGTTCGTTACTTCGGCCTTTGCCGCTGTTGTCGTCGCACTGCTAGGGGTACTTCAGTATCACGAACAACTTGAGGTAATCGGGTTCTATGCAGATAGCTTTCGTGTCGGACGGTACGGACGGTAGAATCATAGGAGAACATGTTCGTTGTATTCCACCGCTTTTTAGGGTAAGCGTTCAGTTTACCCCCCACCCCGGGCCGGCACCCAACTTTTGTATCTCGGCTTCCTGTTCATCTACAGGTGTGTAAAGTATACCAAAATGTTCGCCTTGCTCTGGCGAGTATTTTAGTATACTTTACAGGCCGCTACAACAACGGGTTGTCGAGATACGGTAGGCGGGGGGTAAACTGAACCACAGCTCTCTTTAGCTATCCTCTACTATTTTCCTGCTGTTTTCGCCGTCCCAACCGCACCGATCTTGCGAATTAACATAAAAACTACTATCTATCTACTATATATAAATTTCTAATGTCCGTACGCCCGCCGACCGACCGACCGGGAATGCAGCCAAATTTTGCATGCAAACTCCAAATTCAAATTATGGGGGAGAGGGCCAGCGCTGAACCCCCGCGTAGGGGGGGTCAGCGCTGGTGCTAACCTAAACTGCCAACTCGACCGATTTCAGGTTGTTCTGATGTTCTTCTTCCCTCCATACGCGATGGGCGCCGGGATGAGCGCGATTCAGGATTGGTCGATAAACGCGAAACGACCCGCGAATCTGCCGATCAGCGGCGCCAAGTTGGTCGCCATTTCGATTCAAAACTTTTTCAAAACTTTTTCAAACTCCAAGATGTTGTTTCTAGGTTCGCTCCCCAGCGTCCGTTGTGGAGTATGGACAGTCTCGGTACGCTTGCAAACATTTTCGTTTTCATTGCCTCCTAGGGAAACCGGCACTGTTAATGTTTCTCTTCGGTATCAATGGTATGATATTCTTCTACGTTCTCTCGTCTCGTTATGTCCGCCGAAAGCTCGCACTGTTGGGAGGCCGTTTACCTTGCATTAATCGTTCACCGGGCACTGCTTTTAGTAAGAAAAGAACATTGGCGGAAGATCCAGCATTATATACCTACGATCCCACAAAAATTCCAAGCGAATATGCTGAAGCGGTTAAGGCACCGGAACTAGAAATGGAAAATCTCTCGTTTCTTCGTACTCACCGATCTTTCCCACGGATGGATAGGCAATTACCATGCCTTAATCCTACATCTGGCGATGTAGCTGCGCGGAAGAAAGTTCCGGAACTTGATTACGATCATAATTACGGGTCAGAAATGGATCCGTTTTCCATCTCGTACTATGCCTCGGGCGGTAATTTATTGGTTGCGCCAACGGCAGAGGAAGAAAGCATCAGCGAGGAAGAAAGCATCGGCAAGAATGAAAATAAAAAGAATAAAAAACGGAAAAATGTTGATGAAGGGGAAATAATGGTGCACAAGGTGGGCCGTCAGCAAGATCCGAGCAAGCCCACAGTAAATATCGAAGCCTACGAAGATGGGGATGTGCGCAACGAGAAAAGCTACGTTGAACGACATCTACGGTCGAAGCTCCCGCTATTGGTCGGTTCTTACAAGGAGTCGCTTTTAGGTGCTTTGGGAGTTTCGGAACGGGACCCAGCTAGTTCGATAGAGAAAAATTCTGAGCAACATCCCGTTTTCAAAAAGTGCTGATCGATAAAGGTGTTTTAGAAAATTTAATTTAAAGTACGCGCTTTTTTCTAGTTTTCGGGTCCATTTCCTCGGTGCACGTCGTTTTCGGGGCTGTGCAGAGCGCCATTCGTAGCCCTCCGCCAATGCCTCCATCACAGGTTGCATTGACGTATTGGTAGCGCTTGCCTACCAACTTTTTAACATTTTTTCGCCTCGGTTCTGAATCTTGCGCTGGCTAATCCTTTGCTTTTTGGTTCTTGAACCCGTTATCGGTGCATAAAATTTTTGATTAGCAAAAAAGCAAAGAGTTAACGGTAAATAAGGATCGAACTTGTGGCAAAAGGTCAAAAAAACTTCGTAGGCCATCGCCCTAGCCAGGCCATGCTTAGGACGAGATCCAAGGCGCGTGAAGTCCCTCAGTGGCGGGGGCGATCGGCCGCCGCAAATCACCTCAAATCACCACAAGGGTCCGGATACCGGGAACATTTTTAATTAAATTAAATTTTCTAAAACAGCTTTATCGATCAGCACTTTTTGAAAACGGGATGTTGCTCAGAATTTTTTTCTCTATCGAACTAGCTAGGTCCCGTTCCGAAACTCCAAAAGCACCTAAAAGCGACTCCTTGTTAGTAGAAATTCTGACAAAAATACTGTTGATTTTTTCATGATTGTTTTTAGACACGCGAAAATCTAGATAAAAGCAGCTTTTGAAAAGCTACACTATAAAAATCCTGCGATTTTAAATATCGACCGCTCTTTGATAATTTCCGTAACAAAATCATTCAGGTCCGAAATCTGAAAAAGGTCTACAACTGGAACTTTGCTCGGCCGGCGGTCGATGGACTGACTTTTGGCGTAGAAAAAGGACAGTGCTTTGGCCTGCTAGGTAACTATCGCTGATACATACATACTCTAATCTGAGAAATTCAGGAGTAAATGGAGCGGGCAAAACGACGACTATTGATATCATTACACAGCTGCGATACGCCACGAGTGGAAGGGTCGAACTTTTGGGAGAACTCGATGCGTCCGTTGTAAGTGACAAAAAGGGTTTCAAAGAAGTTGATCTTTTAGCCGATCGGCTATTGCCCGCAGTTTGATGCAGTGCTTTTGGATTTGACAGGGCTCGAGTCGCTTGAGCTGATGGCCTGTTTCCATGGGTATAAGGAGCCGCGGAAAATCGCCCTAGAGGTGAACCTTTTTGGTATAAAATTCTTTGAAGGGGTACCGAACTGCCACCTCAAGGCCCATTTGGGGAAACTCTGGACCCTGAATTTTATTAGCGGCTGCTGCGGGGTGAGAGACAATGCGCGTTCGTTTTTGCGAGAAACCGTATTTGCCAGATTTCTTTGTAAAAACCCTATAATTCTCCGATTTTGGTCTCATTTCTGAATTGGCCCAGCACGGCCGAGAATGTGATTTTAGAGCTGACCACGGGAAAATCCAACGGCGATTCATTTTCAGGGCCCTTTAAAAATCGAATGCTTTTGATTTTCGAGAACTTTACAGCCTTTTTTTACTCGTATAAATTACCATTCAGGCGCTCGAAGCCGTGGGAATGGCAAAGCACGGCGACCACCAATTACGAACATGTTCGGGTGGCCAGCGGAGAAAGATTTCAGTCGGAATAGCGCTATTGGCACAGAATACAATTCGAGTATTAGATGAACCAACAGCTGGCATCGATCCAAAGGTATGCAATATTCTTCTGTTAATCAACATAAAATTGGAGGCGCGACGGGACATCTGGAAATATTTGAATCTTGGAAACCAGGCAGAAACAGCCCAATTATTGACATCTCATTCGATGGATGAATGCGAAGCATTATGCACCAAAATAGCCATTATAAGTCGAGGGAAAATGACGGCTATTGGGAGTAGTCAACATCTCAAGTCAAAGTGGGTGAAAGCGATTGTGTACACGAAATAGAATTTGGCCTTTGGCCGCCATTTCTTGACAATTTTTCTCATTTCAGATACAGCACAGGATACACGCTGACACTGTGGTTGAGATGGAAAAAGTTTGCTGATCTGAAACGGCCAACTAAACGGGAAGAGCTCGATATGTTTGAGGAGGTTCTGCGCGAGATGCACGATGAGGGAAAGTTACCGAATGCAGGAACGGGCGAAGAGATGAAGGGGTGGCAACACCGGTTTGTCGTGAGAAGATTGGATCGCCACATCAGGGGCATATTCCCGGGAGCGGCCATCAGGGAAGCGGGCGAATCATTGACGGTGTCTTGGCAGGTAAGGGATACGATGTGGCGGTCGGAAGCATGGGTTTTTTTGACTGAGCCGGTGTGGAAACATATTACGTATTTTACGTTTACCACAAAATCACAAAAATGTAAAGTTTTACAAACTTGGTTTTTTGAAGAATTTCTAAAAGCATGGCCCCTAAAAAAAGACCCCCTCTAGCGGTCCCGAAGGGTGTCCGTTTTTTTACGATTTAGGTATCTGGAGAAAGCTCTCGACAAGGTGAAAAGATGTGTTTTCTTCGATTTTGAAATACCGGAGTTTGTTGCTCGAATCTCGGAAGTTTATGCAAAAGTTACAAGTTTTTTTAACTGAATTTTATTGGCTTAGCAGCCAACCAAGCCGTTTTCGCATATATCCAAAAAATTCGCTTTCAAAACGCTGGCAAAAAACGGGTTGCTAGCAAAAAAGATCAAAATGGAAAAGTTTGATTTATAACAGGTTTGGAGCAAAGCATCAGAAATTGGCCATATTTCGCAAAAAAACACTTGTTAAATTCAAAAATGTTCCGAAACTTCAAAAATCGAGGAGAACATAACTCCTTAGCTCGTCGAGGGCTTTTGATAAATAACTAAATCATAAAAATCGGACACGTCGCGCGATAGGCCAGAGTTACCCCCCCCCCCCTTCCCCGTTAACAGCCCAGAACCAATCGTTTTACCACCAACATCAGATACCGCCCCATCGAGATGCAACATGGTCCGTGTTGTGGGGAAAGCTCATCGATATGGCTCCACTTCATAATGACCTCCGTATGTTTTTTTATTTGATTACGTCCTATCTGTATTTTCCAGTAATTGAAGACTACAACATCACGCAATGCAGCCTCGAGGATACGTTCTTGGATCTGTTGAGCCACGAAGAGCAGAAGCATCGCGATGCCGACACAGTCTACCAGCAACAATCTACCGGAGCCAGATATACCCCAGCCCCTCAGTATATTTCAGAGCTACACAATGCACGTTGACCTCAATTATGTTGCATTTCACAATGCGCCAAAGAATGATACTATGTCAATGTATTTTACTCACGATCTCCCCAAAATAAACAGTTGGGCTGCATTCCGATCTCTCCGGACACCGACACAACGCACTAACTAAGGGGCCAAAGTTCCAGTTCCGTAAGATGGCTCATTCGAGAAAGCATATTTTTCTACCCCCGGCAGGTGGCTTATGTTTACCGAAAAAGTATTCTAGAAGATTTTTGGAGGGATTTAAATCGAACATTTCGCGCCGGTTTGTGAAAAAAACAGCTGTATTTTTTATTTGAGCTTTTGCGCAGATTTGGACAACCTATTCGGAATCAGCGAAAAATTCTGCACAAGGTAAGCTTGGTCCCATATGGAATTTATAGCCTACGCGAAAACACCTTACAGTTAGCTCGGTTTTTCTAGCAGCCAACCGGGGACAGGCACCCTATCAGAGTTGATTGAGGATCTTAGTTTTGTGATTCGTTTCGGAACCGCTGACAGATAGCCAATGCGAACTTTAGTGCATTAAATATGGCGCGAATCAAACCATTCGAATCGAGATGGATCTATCGAAAAATTTCTGAATGGCGGTCTAGTCAATGTATCCCGAGGCTATTCTGTTAGATGTGGAGTTTTCATCTGTCAGTTCTACTAGGTCAGCGCCCATAGCAGATACTGAGCTCACATCAGTTTCCCCCTGCATTCGTTCCCATTTGGCTGCCTCCCGGAGCCCACCATGTCCCAGCTAGTTTTCTTACTTTTCCTAACCCCGCGCTCCAAAAATCGTAATTTATAGGGACTTCATAATTTCGAAATGCCATAATGCCAAAATTTCTGAAAACAAAATGTCAATGTCGAACTTTCGGTAACTCGAAACTTCCATAATCAAATTGCCAGCAAACCCCCAAATCCTATACAAAAAAAAGTTTCGGCTGATCGAAATTTCGACAGTATGAATTTCGACATTACGATAACAAATCAAGCTTGTAAGGCCATCATCGGAGTGGCTAGAAATTAATCGAGCTAGTTTCTGACTTGTTCGCGTTGCGTCGCAAGCATGAGACACTTTTTCAGCAGATCTTTGTGAAGTTCATCGAGAATGGCTCCTTCGGGAAAGGTCGCTGATAAAGAGAAAGAGGTACTCCCCACTGTTTTCATAGCAATTCTTTTCCACGGCAGGAATGGGCTGCGATCATCATCATCATTTGCATGTTCTCGCTGATCCCTCTGTCCCTGGCCTTCATGATGGGCATGGATATGGATGAACTTTTTGCCACTCGAGACTACAGTTTACTTCCGCTACCGACTCGAACGAAACCGAATGGATATATGTACATGCAGGTGAGTGGAGAGAGAGAGAGAGAGAGAGAGAGAGAGTGAGTGAGTGAGTGGAGTGAGTGAGTGGGAGTGAGTGGAGTGAGTGGGGGTGAGTGAGTGAGTGAGTGAGTGAGTGAGTGAGTGAGTGAGTGAGATAGAGAGACCCCTGAAACCGTCCGAGGGACGACAAAGGGACAAAATTCCCGGCCGCGACCCACCTTTTTAAGCGAGATTTTAGTGTACCTTTAAAGTCCTTCCAGATCTGTCAAACCGATGACTGGTGCCAGGCGCCTTTCCTCATCCCACCGATCGACAGCAGAATATTGGCCAATGTGAGTCCCCTTTTATCCAAGAATTCTAAAAGCGGTTTATTTATGAAAAAATGTTGGTATTTAAGAATCACGGGGTATTAGCTGAATTACGACATGCAATCCGTACACCCCGCAAAAAAAGTAGATTTTGCCCGAGAACTTTGCGTTGTTTCTCCGATATTTGTTTCTTCTCCGGTTTTCGCGACGAAACCATTTTGGGGGTACGTAAGACGGTAACCGCTTAGTTTTTGACCGACGATTGTGAGCTACGCCAATTTCGATTTCAGGAAATGCGCATCGAGCACCAATCCGTGAGGTTTTTCCGCAAATTCGAGCTGCAGATTCGATACATCGAGGTGGGTGACGTTGCTGTTTTTTTTTCGGGGCGGGGGGATTACCAAAAAAAGAAGAAATTGGCCCTCAAAAATTATTTTCTTTTCATTATAGGTGGACACCGTAGAAGAGGCAGAGGCTATCTGGCAGTCTTTCCCGAATGCCAGGAAGATTGAAACAGTGCAACTTCTAGGCGAGCAAAGACACTTATAACCTACATTTTTTGTCGTTTCTCACCAATTTTTCTTTTAATGAATTTCATTTCTCAGAATAAAAATTTTTGCGTTCATCGGTGCAACGAATTTGCGGGCGTGCCATCAGGCGTTTTTCGGGATTTTCATACTGGTTTCAGCATCCGCGGGGGGCAACCTACCTATTTCGGCCCAAGCCTAATTTTTTTAGCGCTTTTGCGTTTATATATTGTTTTTAACTATTTCAGAGCAGCAAAGGTTTAATTTTAGGTCGAAAAATTTCTTGTCGAAAGGTTTTTGGACGCAAAAAGAACCAAATTTTCGTAATGTTTAAGCTAATTTCTTTAATGTGTTGCGAGCTTTTTCTACCTTAAATACAAGCCGCTTACAGCGGCATTGCGCTGCAAGCGGCTAGACTTCGGGCTACCCTTTGCGCTCTTCCCCTCGCCGAAACGCGCGCGACCTGGCTCACTATGTCCAAAATCGTGCAAATATCCTGACTTGCCAGATTCGCCGAAACCTGCAGAAATTGTCAGCTTCCGCTTTGCCAGATCTCGCTCATGTTTAGAACCGGTCAACGTCGCAAAAACCCTTGCCTGCTCCGCTTGATACTTACCTTACTCTTACTCTCACTCTTACCGAAACCGCCTCGGCACAATATCTTGCACCAAATAGGCGCGAACCGATCCATTCAAATCCAAATCGATCTAGCGGTAATTTTTGAATGGCGAGCTAGACGATGTTTCCCGAGGCTATTCTGCCAGATGTGACTTTTCATCTGGGTTTACTAGGTCATCGTCCATAATCAACATCCATCAGTTTCCATCTTATTCATTTGTATCTGGTCTTATCTCACCTCGCCTCACAAAAGTATCTCCCAAATCCCAGCTAGTTTTCTTATTTTTTAGACCCGCGCTCCAAAAAACGTAATTTGTAGGGATACTTGATTTTCGAAATCCCTAATGCCGAATCTTCAGAAAACAAAGGTTTAGCAATGGCCAAACCTTCAGCATGTCGAAATTTCGGTATCTCGAACCTTCCATAAGCAAATTGCAGGCAAAACCCCAAATCCTATACCAAAAAACTTTCGACTGCTCGAAATTTCGACAGTATGAATTTCGGCATTTTGATTACAAATTCAACTTGTAAGGCAATCATCGGAGTGGCTGGAAAATAATAAGACCATTCTTTTCTGTCTTCTTCGCCTTGCGTCTCAAATTGTACCAACACTTTTTGCAGCAGATCTTTGTGAAGTTCATCGAGAATGGCTCCCTCGGGAAAGGTCGCTGATACATAGGAAGAGGTACTCCCCACTGTTTTCATAGCAAATCTTTTCAACGGCAGCTATCAACTTGTGGGTCGATCTCGTTGCTTTGCACCCTCGTGCTGCTCATTCTGTTTGCGGGTTTCCTGCTGGGCCTGTTGGTGAATGATGAATACTTTGCCACTCGAGACTACAGTATACTACCGTTACCGGATAGAACGAAACCGAATGGATATATGTACATGCAGGTGAGTGGAGAGAGACAGAGAGAGAGCGAGAGAGAGAAAGCGAGAGAGAAAGAGAGAGAGAGAGAGAGAGAGAGAGAGAGAGAGAGAGAGAGAGAGAGAGAGAGAGAGAGGGCAATCCCTAGATGTGCCTAACAAAGTCGTTTCAGATCTGTCAGAGCGATCGTTGGTGCCAGGCGCCTTTCCTCATTCCACCGGTCGACGGCAGAATATTGGGCCAGGTAAGGGCCTTATTTGAGTTAATTTTCAAGGGGCTCCGAACTGCCAAAAATCGGGTCACGGCGCGAGAACCGGAGTCCTGTACGTCGAAGGCCTTTGCAGGAAGCGCGTGAATTTGGAGTTCATCATCGTGATCTCCAAATCCCGTGATCGGTTGTTTCTGAGCCAATTTTGATGATTCGAGCACTAACGCTATTTACAATCTTGTAGTGACTTCAGAAATGAGCTCAGAATCAGCGAATTTTAGCGTTTTCGCAAAGAAATCTGACAAAAACAATTCCGCATCAAAATTCGAATGCCGGAGGGCTCTCGACCCGCCCTTGTCGTTGGCAATTTGCCAGAAATCACAGAGCGCTCGAAAAAAGAGCGTTGATTTGGCACTTCGGTGTTCCTTTAAGCATTTTATATTTGTTTTAAATATAAAAATCGGCCCGGGAATCACGGGTATCGATGCATTCGGTGCATTTACAACATACAAATACGAATCGGCCTGTCAGCCGGTGTGGCCGAACAACATTTCGTTGTTTCTCAAATATTTGCGGATCTTCCCGGCTAAACAAATTTAAGCGTTCTGTTCTATTTCGCGGGGGGGGGGGGGGGGGAATATGCTTCGCGGAACCTTCCATCTTTTCGCTATTTGCTCGGGGTTTTTGCAACGCCATTCGTTAGAGCATCAAAAAATATACTAGGAGTTTTTGTTTTAGCTAAAAATATTGTAATAAAAAAAAGTTATATCAAAAACAACAAAAAACTATTGAAACTGGTGCCGGAATGTTAGTTTTCGGCATTTTCGCCAGGCTTTCGATATTTTGAACCTGTCATTCGATAGAGCATCAAAAAATATACTAACATTTTCATTTTCATCTAAAAATATTGTTTTATAACATAGTTATAGCAAAAACAAGGTTTATTCGGTGTGTTTCCCCATGGCATCGTGGAATCGAAAGTTAGTTTTCGACATTTTCGATAACTTTCAAAAATTTCTTTAATACCATTCGATAGAGCGTCAAAAAATATACTCAGAGTTTTAATTACAATTCAAAATAGCAGCATATAAAAGAGTTATAACAAAACGAAGAAAATCCCCCCCGCACAGTTTTTCCCCCACGCGAAATAGAGCACAACCAATTTAAGGGGTGCGTAACGCGGTAACCGCATTGCTTTGTTTTAGCGAAAAATGTGTGTCACGCCAATTTTCCCGCATCCAAGCCCATTTAAGGAAATGTGCATCGAGCACCAACCCGTGAGGGCTACCGGCAAATTGCAGCTGCAGATTCGTTACATCGAGGTGGGTGACGTTGCTGTTTTTTGAGGGACAATACAAAAAAATGGAAGAAAATGATCCTCAAAAATCATTTTCCATTCCAGGTGGACACCGCAGAAGAAGCAGAGGCTATCTGGCAGTCTTTCCCGAACGCCAGGAAGATCGAAACGCTGCAACTCCTGGGCGAGAAAACCTGCCACCATCATTAACCTGAAATTCTTTGGCTCTTTAACGAATTTTTCTGTTAATAAATTTCATTGCTCTTGATAAAAGTTTTTGCGTTTATCGGTGCCACGAATTTGCCGGGCAAGCCATCAGAGGTCTTTCAGAATTTCCTTTCTGGTTGTAGGATCGAAAATTGACAATATTCGATGTCACAAAATGACCAAATTTTCGCCTTTTTCAAACCATTTTCTAATTTTTCGCATTTTTCTAATTTAAATATAATAAAAACTGATTATAAACAGGATAGAATCATTTTATGTTCCATTACCAAGCCAACCTAGATCACCAGGAAAGAAATTGAGAAAAATGAACTGCAAGATACATACAGGGTGTCCCAAAATTATCCGGACAAAACTGAAAACTGACTTTTTCAATTTTTCCGCTGTTTTCGGCCTCCGCATTGTATCTCATAATATTTTTTTGAGGCATTTCCGATGCACCGTGCAAAAAAAAATTCTGGTAGAACGCAAAATAGCTTCACAAGCCAGCGAAGAGCATGTTAAAATTTTTCGCCTCTTAAATAACATAAAAATTGCGGTAAACTTTCAAAATGTGTTCAGGCGTTTTTGTGGACAAGAAATGACGTTTTCTGGCAAAACGGACCTAACTCCGCCAAGATTCCGACTTGTTAATGGTCATTTTTCCGTTTAATACCGATTTCCATCCCATTACTGGGCAAGGTGTTTCGATGCTTGCTCGTGCTCAAGCTCCTCAAAAATCAAAGTTAGCTTAATTTAAATCGCTTGTGCATCATCGTTACCGCCAAAAGTTTATGCCTCTAGTTTTTTACAACAATCATATCACGCTTTTAGGGTTCCTCTAGAGCAAAACCTTTAAGGCAACGGGGGCGGCGCGTACCTCGATTTCAACTTTTTTTGCTGACTTTTTTTTTTCTGGTGTAAACCTAGGGTTTTTCGGCCGGCTAAAGTGTTGACTGGTCATTTCCAAACCCTTCCTGTGGTTTCTTCGTTCGTCCGGTCATGCTAAAGTTCCTTATGGGATCGGAAAGCATGCGCGTTTTCAGCGTTTGCAAGGAGAGAGAAATTTGGTTCGAACTTCTCCAATTTATTCCGAAGAGATATGACGGATTCACGCGCAGTTTTCTTTTTAAGCTTATTAAATACACTTCAACGATCCATAGAAATTAAATCATGGTCTGCAAAAACAGGAAAAAATAAGAAAAAACCGCTTTGCAACTTTGTCCGGATAATTTTGGGACACCCTGTATTTGACCGCTTGACGGGCTTGCCTTACGGTTCGCTCCAATTCTCCACTCTAATTTTTCCGCGATTTCCAAATCCCAAAATCGGGCATAATATCAAAATTTATAATGTCAAAACTCATAATATCGAAGTTCATAATTTCCATTTTCATAACGTCGAAAATTCAGAATGTCGAATGTTTTCGCATAGGATTCGGGGTTTTCCGGCGAAAATTAGCTTATGTAAATTTCGAAATTCTGATTTTCGACATTATGAATTTCGACGTTTTTTAAAGAAGCCCTTCGGTACCATATCTTGCACCAAATAGGCGCGAACCAATGCATTCGAATCGAGATCGATCTAGCGATAATTTTTGGATGGCGGGCTAGTCGATGTTTCCCGAGGCTATTCTGCCAGAGCTGAGTTTTCATCTGGGATTGCTAGGCCACCGCTCATAGCAGATAGGATGGTCTAACATCAGTTTCGTATCAGTATTCATCAGCTGGATTTATTTACGTTACAAAACTTACCAATTCTTAGCTAGAGCTGGTTGGTTTTCCTTGACTCAAAAACCAGTTTGCCAAGACCAAGCGGTAACATCTCCGTAGAAATCATCTTTAAAGGGATGCCGACGCCATAGTCAATCGGTTACGCGCGGAAAAGAAAATGCCTCTGCGCCTCTCCCCTGGGCGCGCTCTCTTCCCTGTTGGCTACTTGCCAATTTGTTGATGAGGGGGGATCGACACATGCCGTCGGCAGCCCTTTAATGAATAGCATGGTTTCTCGTAACGAAACTACTTTTTTGTCGCTTCTTCATCAAGGAAGCTTTTTCAGAAGAAAGCTGCTGACGCGGGCGAAAATGCGATACGCGCCTGAAGTTGAACAAGGTTTCGAGGAAAAAGACATAAAGGTACGAGCCTTGTTCATGAAAAATTATCTTGATTTTCCGCCAGCAATTACGCCGGGAATTTTGCTTCAAATTTTGGGGTTGGACCGTGACAATTCTGCTGTCTGGCTTCATTTTCGGCGCCATCATGGGAGAGCCCATGCTGCCCACTCGAGACTACAGTCTACTTCCGTTACCAAAACGAACGACACCCGATGGGTATATTATCATGCAGGTAAGAATGAACGGTTAAAAATCACCCTCTCTCTCCCTCCCTCTCTCTCTCTCTCTCTCTCTCTCTCTCTCTCTTTCTCTCTTCCTCCTCTCTCTCTCTCTCTCTCTCTCTCTCTTTATTTCTCTCTCTGTATCACTATCACCACTCTGTCTCTCTCACTCAATCTCTCGCTGTCTCTCTATCGCCCTCTCTCACTATCTCTCATTCTCTCTCTCTCACCCTCTCTCTCTCTCTCTCTCTCTCTCTCCCTCTCTATCCCCTTCCCTCTCATATGTCTCACCCTTAACATGAACGAATTTAGCTCTGCCAGTCGGATGATTGGTGTCAGGCTCCTTTCCTCATCCCGCCAAGTGACGACCGGTTCATGACAACAATGCGTTATCTGATTTATTTCGAATTAGCATTCTAGCCGGTTTTCAAGTTTCGATCAACAACGGTATTTCTGAGAAAATACTGCCAAAAAAGTTATTTTTAAAAAAACTCGTGTTTCTGAAATTTTCTACGCGTTTTCGTCCGTGTTTTCGCAATTAACATGTTGAATTTGTGTTGTAACATGTTAATTTTGAGTAATTTCATTAATTTAATAATTAGATTAATTTTCGGGTCCGTATCTGTCGATTGTGATAATAAAAAGCTATGAAAGTCGCGATTAAAAAATGGTTGTAAAGTTTTTAAGACTTAAAAAATAAAAATTTTCTGTAATTATAGCGACTTTTTTATTCAGATGCGAGTCGACCACCAGCCTGTGTACACCAGGCGCGCATTCCCCGTGCAGATCCGGTATATCGAGGTCGGTAACGCTGTCTTTTGTTTTTTTGGCGTCATAGGGGGGTAATTATATGTCTAGAAATGTCTAACAACTTAATCATAGTGTTTTAATAGTATTTTTAGTAGAAGCTAGTAGTAGAATCAACTAGAAAATATATAAAACCTTTAAAAAGCCTAAATTTTATTGAAAAATACTACAATTTCGATAGAAAAATCGATATCTCTATATTTTTGCATAAAAATTTGTCAATTTTTCCCCATAGGCAGAGTAAAAACTTATTTCGAAACACGCCGTTATTTATGCTTGAACAAGGGTCCTAAGAAAAAAAGAATTGTGTTTCCAGGTGCAGAACCCGAAGGATGTTGAGTCGGTCTGGCAGGCCAATGCCAATGTCACCACTGTGGAAATGCTCTACATACTGGGCCCGCTCGGTTAACCCACTAACTTAAATTTTTTTGAATCAATTTTGTTGTTTCAATATGATATCTCTCCAAATAAAAATTTACGAGTTCTATAGCTCAATAAATGTCAAGCACCGGTAATTTAGGAAGCGCTTGCTGGCCTGAAAATAGTTTTCTAGACAAGAATGAACCGTTTTTTAGCCAAAAACAAGAACTTTGGCCCATTTCGGCAGGCTAAAATAAACATGAAAGCGAAAGCTAGCATATATTTTTGAGGAATTTTTGCGCAGTAAAATCAGGCCAGCGCCAGATTGCGGATAAGCCGACAGAGATCATTGTGGAACTGCTGAATGCTAAATAAAAACGACGCTTATGCGTCCGTTTTTCCGCCAACCAGACTAGTTTTTGAACCTTCTGAACCCTGGTCTTGGCAGGCTAGCAGCAATTTTTGCGGAATTTTTTAATGAAGTTGGCAGAGACCTTCGATGCATTTCTTTAGTCCATCCAGAATTAAAAAAATTAAAAGGATTTCAAGGCGTTTTCTTCGAGAATGAGTGTAATTTTCATGCCACTTTGATGCAAATGGTGGTTTTGGTACAATTTTCAGCCCTGATTCCGGCAGGCTAGCAGCTATTTTTGAGGAATTTGTTTTGCCAATTCAGACAAATCAAAAATCAATCAAATCAAATCAAAGACAAGTCAAATTCGACAGTTTTTCACGTAAAAGAACAATTTTAGGCTCATTGAAAGCCCGGTCTTGGCAGGCTAGCAGCAATTTTTGCGCAATTTTTCTCGCCTTTGTACAGACAGCCCCGGGGCTATTTGCGATGGTGTTCATTGTCGGTGGGGCCGTTGTTTGGCTTCAGAATCGATTGACGACGACGGAAGAGAGGGAGAGAGTTAGGGGGAAGGGGAGAGAGGGCAGAGAGGCAGGGGAGAGAGTGGGGGAAGGGAGAGAGCGCAGACATTCCCCCAGAAGGCGTTGCCCCGGGGATAACCCCTTCAGAACGAATTCTTGCACCCTCGGAAGTTGCTATTTTCGGATGGAATCTGATAGCCAAAAATTGCATTAATTTTGTAAAATGCCGGCCGCCGCCCAGGGCCAATCATGGTCCGAGATTCTGTGCTGTCCGAGCTGTGGAGAGGTGGGTTTTTGGATTTTTTCGGGGTTTTGGAATTTCAAAAAATAATTTCTTTATACTTTGTCCATTTTACCGAATTTTTTATGATTTAGAAAGGATAAAATCAGGTTTTTAAGATGTCACAATTCCTTTAAGCAGGAAATATCTAACATTTTTTGGGACTTTACGCAATTTTGTATTTTACAAAAAGCTAAAAAATTCAAAATTTTAAAAAGTACTATAGATTCAAAATTATTTAGAGTTGAATTATCGAATTTTAGATGTTCGGCATTCCACGAGAGCCGGTCACTTCGATTTGTGGCCACATTATCTGCCGGCCATGTACGCACGTGTACCCCGGAGCGTACTGTCCTATCGATCAGGTTTTTATTTTTTATTTGACTTGATTTGTCGTAAGACAAAAAAAACATTTCCCCCATAAGGGATTAGAACGTAAAAATCGAAATTCTGACTTAAAAAATAAATTATGCTCGATTTGATGTCATAATCGGTTCCAAAAGTTCCAATGGTTTCAGGCCGAAAATCGCTACTCCCTCCAAGAATTGCCGACCAATTCGGCAATCCTTTCGATTGTCGGGGTCCAGAAAGACGTTTCCCATGAAATTGCACGCCTTCTAGCCCATTATGGTCAGTTTGAAGGAACCAGGAAGTCAAGAAACCTATGGATTTTCCAGGCCGTCATCCAGAGGAGATAAATTCAATTGTGGAATGTCATTTGAATCTACATGTACTGGCTGGGTACCTGAGAAAGGCGAATTCAGAAAGGGGAGGCAGTGTTTGGAGCGAGGTACGTCGCCAGCGTCGAAAACTACAAACCAGAAAACCATTTTTCAGGTGCTTAGTCGGACCCTACAGCGAAAATTGGTCTCTCTGCTATGTATGCAGGTGGTTGACGATGAGACGAAGCCAAAAGTAGGTCTAAAAGTAAATATATGGATTTCATGGCGTAATCGGTTTTCCAAAAAAGGTCAATGACGTTCGTAATAGTTTTTCAAAAAATAAGAAGTCAGGATTCGAGTCGTAGATGCTTTCTGTATGCTATGCCTTAGTATTTGAAGAAAATGATTTGGTTGCGTAATCGTTTAGCAAAAATGGAATTTCAGCGAGACGGATTGCATGGCGTAAACGGTTTACAAAAAGTGCGAAGAACTGTCTGTCAATTTTTTTCTAAAATACATCGAAGCTATTTTTTAACGCGTGGAGGCTTTCTGGCTGCCATAGTATAATTCTTAAAGAAAATGAAGAAAGGACATTCGAATTTTCGTGACGAAACAGAAAATTTCAGATTTTTCAAAAATGTTTTCGTTTGAATTTTCGGCTTTTTCAGATCCTCCGTACTCTGCGTAGCGTGGCGGAACGGGTACTGAGCGAACTGTTGTCCCATCAACAATCTTCTCACAGTCTTTCCACCCAATTATGGACGGCCGTCCGTGCGAGGGGATGCCAATTTTTGGGGCCAGGTATGGTAGAAAACGCGACTTTCTTGATTTTAAAGAGACAGTGACAGCGGATATTTTTTCAGCAATGCAAGAAGACGTGTTGAAGCTCATTTTACTAACGTTGAGCAAAGGGGCTTCCATCGCTAGGAAAACGCTAGTGATGTATATTGTGCAGACGTTGCTGGAGGATTATCCACAGGTAGTTTTTATTATTAATGCGACAAAATTTAAAAAATATTGGTATGAAAAAATGGTATCACTTCTCAAAAAAATATGAAAAGCAGGGCCAGTGGCTAGGGCAGGCTAGCTGAGATACTTTGAGACTCCTGATTTTGTTCGCTAAAATGACCCCGACCAGCAAGGCAGGCACAGAGGCCTCTTTAGGAAGCTATCTTTCTTTAGTTGCTTCAGTTTATAGAAGTTCAATATACCCCAGCCAATTGCGAAAAAAAATTGGGTAACTGACATCTAGAATCTATTCCTTCCCGTGAAGTTTCTCTTGTTGCGGCAAGCCGGCTGAAGCAACGTTAATCCAGCGAAAGGTTCGGGTGCTCATTAGCTCGGCACGTGCGCAGTCGTTTTCAGCTTCGAGAGTATTTGCAGTTTGCCCAGCTCGCTCCCGCAATTTCCGCTAAAAAGAGAAAGGACTGCATCGCTTCAGTCCGTATAAAACTTACGTTAAGAATGTTTAAAAAAGCGTGGGCGAGCAAGTTGCTGGCCGTGGGACGTTGTTGCCTATCCACAGTTAGCATTTGAGTCAACAAGTCGAACAAGTCGTTTTCTGCAAAGAAATCAAGATAGGGTCTTAAGACTTGTATCTACTTGTTAATGGCCCGATGTTATCACCGATGCGCGGCTCCAGAGTGTCGGCAAAGATATTTTTAAGACGTTGATTTGGATCAAGGATAAGCGGTGGCCTGTCGCACTGATCGATTTTATTCTCCCAAAGTTTGCTCAAGGAATGTTTTGGTTTTGTCTGTAATTCTATTACCTCAAGTGCTCGATTTCCGGACCGGCCATAACGTTTCTCATCCTGATCAATACCGAATCAACGGAAGCACACTTTGAGGAAGAGTGCAAATCGAGGGGCATCATCAATTTGAGCCCCAACATTTCGACAGTCACCAACGCGGTAGCCCAAATATCCACTCCAGTATCGTACTTTTCTTGAACCAGTGCCTCAGGAGCCTTATAGATTGGCGGGGTATCGACGTTGATTGTATAGTCGTTGTTGGGGAGGATGTCTCTAGAATCAGATTCAGGGAGGGGCCGTGTACTCGTCCCAACGTGTACACCCTATGGACGTAGGGACCGCGCGCACTGCCCGTCCGTGCCGTGGGAGGCAATTCCCCTCCTTTCCGGGGTGGGGCGCCCCTCGGCCCCTCGCCAGCTTGCACCTGTGGCTGACTCGTATCCATCCGCGCCTGGGCAATTAACATTACGCAGAAATTTCGGTACGCAGAAATCCATTAGATAGAAAACCGTTATACCGAAAACCCATTAAGCAGAAAACCATTACACAGAAAATCCATTACGCAGAATCCATTAAGCCGAAATCCATTAGACCGAAATTTCATTATACCGAAATCCCATTACGCAGAAAATCACTACGCAGAAAAACTATTACGCAGAAATCATTATATAGAAAATATTCCAGCAATTTGTTACCCCGACCACCACTCCCATACGATCTATATACAAAAAAGATCCGCGGTCGTTGAGTTTTGCCATCATTGACTCCGGACTTTACCCAGTCAGATAGTCTTATCGTTGAAAATTGTGCGGATTCCCGATACTCACCCTCCTCTCTATACCTCTTGAAACAAATTTTGAAGACTTTCTCCGAACCCTGTTTGCTAACTTTCCCGGATTTTATCCACCAATTTTTTGCCTTATCATGCGTTGTCATCAACTCGGAAATTTCCAGCAAAGAGAAGTTTTCCTTGTACGGAAATTTAGGCGTAATGGTCTTCTGCGTAATGAATTTTCTAGGTAATGTATTTCTGCGTAGTGGTTTTCTGTATAATGGTTTTCTGCGTAACGGAATTCTGCGTAGTGAAATTTCTGTGTATTGAAATTTCGATATAATGGGTTTCTACGTAATGGTTTTGCTGCATAATGTATTTTCGGCATAATGGATTTCTGCGTAATGGTTTTCTGCATAATCAATTTTCGGTATAACGTTAGTAAATCTATCCATCCGCACCTCCCTCCGCTTTAGAGGGCCCCGGGTTCGACCCCCGGCCTCGGTAAAAATCTTTGCTTTTTTCCAAAAAACCGTCCCTGAACGTGCCCTTTAACAGCGATGTTCGGGCTCGAAAGCATCGATCAATTATTACCTGGCCAATCCAAAATCCAGAAGTTTGACGACAAACTCTTTTTGATTCATCCCAATATTGCGTGGGGTAATGTCCTAAAGTAAATGAAATCTTGTTGCGATATCCTCGGTTTTGTATGGCTTACACGATGTATAATTCCGTTGCTATGAAGAAAATCCAGCGCTCGCAATAGTTGTTCCAGCATTGCAGCAATGTGTCGGATGTCTCGTTTAACCGGCTGATCATAGGTGTCCTTTTTCCGCAAGTGCCTGCAACGTAAAGTTCGGCAGCCGGAATAAAAACAACTCGAAGTATTTTTCCAGCGTGTGATCCATGCGCTCCGTAATGATACAGAAAAACTTGGTCGGTCCAGTGGGAGGCTCCGGCCAGGTTCCGTAGAATTTGACAATCTGGAAAACTTGCCTATTGACGTTTGTTACGACCGAAAACTCCGCGTCCTTAAACGAGTGGTGGGAGGTTTCTGGTGTTTCGCTTATAAATGGCAAGGAGATTGAATCTTAATAGCAAATTTTTCAAATTTTGAGGGGAATGCATTTCAAGTTTCCCCCGAACGCACAGTTTTCGGGTGTCATTTTTATGGGTACGTCACCGAAAATCGAAAAATCAAGTTTCTCCAAATCGGAGTTCCCGACACTTTTATACATTCTTGGTTACGCATGGTGAAATATTCTTCTATCAAAAGTTGCTCGAGCCCAAAGCCCGGAAGAATTTTTTTGGGGCACCCTACGTTTTCGTGTTGCATGAAGGGCGCGATGTCCACTTCACGCTTCACTCGCCGATATCCATCGACGGTTGATGAGAGCCGTTCAATCGAATACCTTAAGTCCATCAATTTGCTACCTTAGCAAAATATCAAATCGAAGCGTTGAAATGCCACTGAATCGACCTACCGTCTTATTGCCACAGATACATCGCCGGCATCTGTTCCTTTCTGTGACATTTTAGCGGCTCTTTAAGACAATATCTCCCACAATATCTTTACTTCCTTACATAATATCAGCGTACGTTCCCCTAGCTATCACGTGAAATTCATCATTGAGGTTCTTCGGCCGGAAAAACTTGTCGTCCTGACAAAGATATTGGCAAGATTTTGATTTCACCTTGTCCGGTTTAAGCGAAGGTAGGACTAAAATCGGGAACACATCGAGGACGTTGGTGGCATCGTTCAAGTTGGGCCTGCGGAACGTGGCCCTGCTCTCATAGTACTGATTTACTACAGGCCTTTCGCGCTGTTCATGAACGGAAAGTCGCTCCAATTCTGCCGCAAAGCTCATCCACTATAATGATGGGAGTAGCACGAAAACATTTAAAACCTGCCGATGGTGGTGTGATGGTGAACGAACACAAAAATGGACCCCGCCAACGAAATAGCCTAGTAATAAAAGAAATATGTTCTTGGTGCACGCTTCAGCTCGAAAATCCTGCAGGGAGCCCCCAAACACCCGCGTCAAGCGGCCCGGAGAAACGTGAACGGGATGATTTTTAGCCTTCGATAGATGCCTAAATCGCCAAAATCGGACGTTGTTGCTGCCCGCTGGGGGGCGGGGGGGGGGTCGATATTTGGCGCACTAACTGTAAAGTGTTTTTACTCAACTTGGAGTTTCGATTCGGGACCAAGTGCATCTTGTGCAGCATTTTTCGCTGATTCCGAGTTCGTTTTCCAAATTTGCTACGGACTTTTGTTTAAAAAGTAATTTTTGGTGCAAATTAAGCTCACAAAAGCCAAAAGTTAGGATTCTGGCCCACTATTCCCTCCTTGGTCCCAGGACTCCCAGGTGCCCTGAAGTAGGCGCTCACAGCCCATTGCCCGGTTGGCACCATAGTGCATTGGCAAAGTCAAATTTAATTATTTTATTAAAAAACTTGTTTTGACCTCTTAGTAGCTTGTCTAGCCAATGTCTATCCAAATTCGATGTTGAAATTGATCAAGATATTCGAAAGCGATGACGGTACCTTGATTTTGCTGAAAAACTCTACCATAATTGCCTTATAATTTTCAAAGTAAATGTCGGTAGCAAATTTGGAAAATGGATTCGGAATCAGCGAAAAATTCTGCACAAGTTGTGCTTGGTCCCGAAACGAAACTCCAAGTTGAGTAAAAACACTTTACAGTTAGCTTATGCCTAAGCGGCAAAAGCGAGGTTTTATAACGTGCGTTATTATTGCATGGCATAATTTTTTCTTATCAACATATAGTTGCGTAGGTGGTTTTCGACAGGTATAAGCCATTACTCAGAGTCAGATTGTTATCGGGGTGCAGGCTCCGGGCCATCTTCGCGAGGTACCGTCACCGTCACTGGGGTACCCATGTAAGGGTATTGTGAGAAGATTGGTTGAATCAAAATTACACAACAAAATAAAACCCTGAAGAAACCTGGTCACATGCGAATGGCTGGCGCAAGTGAATCCAAAGCGCGAAGTCATGATAAGGCGGTGGCGCCACCCATGTACAGGGGCGTAGCCAGAAAAAAATTCGGGGGGCGAAAAAATTTTTCCGAAAAACTCAAAAAATTAACAAGAAAACAGCGCCGCAGGCAAAAAATTTTAGAAAAAAGGCTATGTAGCTCTACAAATAGCAGTAAAAACGTGAAAAAATGGCGCCGTAGGCAGAAAAATTTTTGAGAAAATAAAAATCATAAAGGTCCCCCCTTATGAAATTTTCGGGCCCCGGCCGATTTCGGGGGGGGGGGGGCCGGGCCCAGGGGCCACCTTACGCTACGTCCCTGTTGATGTAGGTCAACAAAATTTCGTTAGAAAGATATCTGAAAAAATAGGCAAATAATCTCGAGAAAACTAGGGTAAATTCCAGGGTTAGATGCATCCAGATGTCTCCAAATCATTTTTTCGAAGAACCAGAACTTTCGGAAATTTTACCCCCAACTTCAGGTCTCAAAAACATGCGTGGGCCATGTGGTGCAGCTCCTCTACCGTGCCTCATGTTTCAACGTCATCAAGAGGGACGGGGAGAGCTCGCTGATGCAATTGAAAGAGGAATTCAGGTATTCTGGCTAACAGCTAAGCAAATTAAATGATTTTCAGGAGCTACGAGGCACTCCGCCGGGAGCATGATGCCCAGATCGTTGGTATGGCAGTGGAGGCTGGGTTGAGGATTAGCCCTGATCAATGGAGTGCTTTACTTTATGGTGACCCAGATCATCGAGCACATATGCAAAGTATTATTGGTAGGTTAATAGAAACGAAATTATACTTTTAAAGGGTTGGAGACAACAAGAAATTTACTGTCGCTATAATTTTCAAAAATGGAATTTTTCTGAAATTTCATTATTTTTTGTATATTAAGCGTCGTAAAACCCTAAGATACGTTTTAAAGGGATAGTGCCATCCATACCTGGCTTTTCTGACAGCCAATAAACCCTATCCAATTTTCAGACAAGCTCCAATCCCCCCAATCATTTCTCCAATCCATCGAGGAGCTACGCGTCAAGCCGAAAGCCGTCCCCGATCGGCACAAGCCCTTTTTTTCCCGGTTCTCCATCTTTTCGAGGCATTGAGAGGTCAGTTTTTACCTTAAATTAAATGCATTAATCGGTATTGGGTAAAAGATAGTTTTAAAAATATTAAAAATTGTTGAAATCGCAGTTTTTGTATTTTTAAATTTCTTTGGAAGATTTGATCTAATTTTACCAAAAATGCTCCAAAAACAATCGATATTTTCAGATGATCATAGTTGGGATGAGACGGCCCTCTACATTGATAAAGCCCGAGAATTGCTGGATATCCACATCGAAATCTCGGTTTATTATAGGGGCTATTAGGCAGAAAACTTTATTTCGATATTTTAAGTTTTATTTTTGTTTTCTGCTTATTTTTAAAGTTTTTATTTGGTTACGCCATCAACTGTCCTAAAAGTTACTATAATCCGGATTTTTGGCCGTTAAAAAACCAAAAAGCGTGGTTTTCTTATTCGATTACGCCATCATAATCTCCAAATATCTTAACTGGCATCCGCTTAATTTACTTAACTTGGAACTTATGTTCTGTGATCCAGCTTACAGTTTCCCAAAATATCTTTCACCAAAAACCCCACGTGACGATTCGATTTGCATTTTAGTGTTACTTTTCCACCCCGATTCTAGTCCCAACATATCGATCATTCATTCTATTGTGATATTTCAGAAATACAAAGCGCAACGATAAATTCGTATTTATTAAAAACAGAACTAGCAAATTTACGTTTTATTTTGCCGGTTTCACTGGCCGCTTCAGCAATTCGGTTTTGCCCCTGAAATCGATTACGCCATGAAATTGTCAAAAACTCAATCCAAAAATTCCGACAATTTTCATTTTATAACGATCGGAAGTTGTAGATTACCGGTCAGCTAAGCGTAAAACAAGAATATTTCTGCAAAAGATACGCCAGACTACAAATCACAGGCGCCAAGGCAAAACGCAAACGCATTGAACGGCCAGCATGTTGGAATTTTCATAATATTAGGTTATAACGATCGAAAATGGTATATTACAGGTCAATTAAGCATAAAAAGAAAATTATTTTGGTCAAAGCACGCTAGACTACAAACTACAACCTTTTCAAAGAAAAACTTACTGCATCGGGTAGCAGACCTGCCATTTTGTCATCGGCCGGCACCATTTTGGCTCGCATGAATGCCACGCCTAAAATAAGCGGTTTTATCCTTTTTTAAGCGGTTTCCGGTAGATAGAAATTTACAGAAATAATTACGGTATTTGAATTTATTCTTAATTTTAATCCAAAAACCGACCGGAATTTCCTTATTGCCCTGCAGGACAAGATCGCCCAAGTAGTAGAAATAATCAGCGTTCGGCGCTTCTTCCGGGATTAATTGCATGCATTCTGTGCGGAATTCCTTGAAAATTACGGTAGACAATATATATGACAATTACAACGCCACATCCATGGTAGATCCGCAAATAAGGCTCGAGTCGAGGGTTTGTGCCAATATCTAAAAATTGTAGTTTGCTGTTTACGGGGTTTTTAGGGGCTGAAACTGTAGTTTGTAGTCCAGATCGACGATTCAGAAACGTTATTTAATGCCAATCTAGTCTGGAGCAGTCATAGAAATTTTTTGGAACTTGTAGGTTTTTAACAGGCTAAGTGGTAGTTTGTAGCCCAGCGTAGCCTCTAATGGAAAATATTTTTGTAGCTTGTAGCTTTTGGACATTCAAAGGAACAGAGTTGCAGTCCATAGTCAAGATCCATAATTCATAGAGTTCTTTTAAACGGAAATCAAACAAAAAAAATTGCAATTCGTAGTTTTCGAATTTTCAAAGTTGGAAGTTCTAGTTTGTAGTCCAGATAAACAAACTAAGCAGTTGTTTTAAGATTTTTGGGCGAGCTGCCACACAATAAGCCTACCAAAAGCCTCTCCAGACACTCGAAACGTTTTCCGCTTTCCCGGTTCATTTTCGAGATGGGCGATCGTATCGCCCATAAAATCGGGAGGCAGTACTGTAATGAACAATTACTTTTGTAAATTAAAATACCGAGAAAAGACCAAAAAAGTACAAATTCTTACACCCATCAAAATCGTTCAGCTCAATATAAGCATCGCCAATAACATAACTGCTATTGCACAGTATCCGCCCAGCTACCGTAATCTGGAATATTGCGGAGTTCCGAGTTGTATCGTATGAAATATTGTTTATTGTGTGTCAGTTTAATAAAAAATAATATGATATAGCTATGTTTTTGCATAGTTTTTAAAAAGCGCTCGAAACGGTTTTTTGTCGATTTTTCGACCAATGTCAGAACTGCCCAATTTATCGTAATCCGGAATATTGCGGAATTAGATAAATGATATTTGATGAAATTCGGTTAATTGGATGGCAGTTTGCTAAAAAATAACGTTTAAAATAGATATTTCTCCTGTATCACCCTTACAAATAGATTTGATCGATTTTTTGCCTATTTTCCGGTGAATTGACTGCCCGTTGATTTTTTGGAGAGGTTGACCTACTTTATCTGCGTTGATGAGAAGCGGGAGAATCGAGATCAATATTGAAAGGGAAATTCCGTAGGACAGGGCCATTTATATTGCGTAATGTATTAATTTACGATTTGAGAATCTTTAGAAAATATAGAAAGTTCGGGCAGCTGTCTGGCTAGCCACGGTTTTTGTTGCTAGGTTTATTGTGGATGGGACAGAGAGAGAGCGAGAGAGAGAGCGAGAAAGAGAGAGAGAGAAAGGGAACGATAGTCTGATATCAATTGGGGAAATCCCATCCTTTTATCCCAGCCTATCCGCCCCCGATTTTCCCATTTTGGAAAATCGGAGATCGAGCTCGAGAACTTTTTCCGAGCCTGGGAACGCCACAATTGTACCCCAATTTAGCCAATCAGCTGAAAAACGTTTCAATTGTTGGCGTGTTTTCGTTTAAACGCTTTAATTTAGGTTTTTTATGATTTTTCCTCATGTGAACTATAATTAAAATATTCAAAAGAGTATATTTTATGTTACTGCTGTAGGTCGTAGTCAAATAGAAACGTTTATTTTTATATTCTATACGTAACAGACTTGAAAATACAGGTTTCCCTAAAAAATGTCAGAAAGCAAATTATTGCCTAGCTTCAAGAATCACATTTTTTCTTCAGCAAGTATAAAAATCACATAAAAGTATCCAAAAGGTATCGCAGATATTTAGCAAAAATTAAAGCAAGATTCTCTTCATGGTGGTCCAAAAAAACAAGCAAAAATTATACAGCACAGGAGATCGTTATATTATGCAACTTTTGTCTACTCTTCCGGATAGCAAATGATTGTCATGGCAATTAGAACAAATCCAGCAATAGTGGCGCCGAGTTGGGCAATTCTCGAGACTTCTTTTTGATGCTCCGGCACCAGAAGCTAAAACGGATTTTTATAAAATAGTAAATAGTAGGATTTTTATCAGTTTCCCGCGCCGCGCCGCGACACGCAACGCAAGCGTTCACCTTTCATTACGTAATCGATCATGCCCTTTTCATAGTAAGATAGCAGCGAGCGCGTAGCGTACGGCGTTGCGTATGGCTTTGCGTGCGCGTTGCGTATGGCGTATCGCGTAGTACGCGTTGCGTGTCGCGCTAAGTATCGAGTTGCATATCGCGCTGCGTATCGCGCTGCGCATCGCGTTGCATGTCGCGCTAGGTATCGCGTTGCGTGCGCGTTGCGACTCGCGTTGCGTCTCGCCTTGCATATCGTAATATTTATCGCGTTGCGTGTCGAGTTGTGCGCGTTCGGTTTCGCCGACACGGAAAAAGCTATTTCAAGCCGATTAAATTTACGAAAATTACGTGACAATAATTAAAAACCTTGGTGCTAAAAACTGGCCTACCTCGTAAAACGTAATTTGCAGAAAAGTGCCCAGAGATAGGCAAGAGAGAATTAATACCAATGCTCCCTTAGCGTTGGATTCAGTGCCTTCTGGTTCCTGAAAATGATGGATTACGTTAAATAAATAATTCAGAAAATAGAAGATTAGAAAAATGGAAACCTGTATGAGTAGCCCGGCAAAGCCCCCCAACGGCGCCATCGCCGCCATCCAGCATACCATTAATGCGGGGATGAGCACGATTCGGTGAGCAGAAGAGAGACGGAAACCTCAAAAAGGATCTTAGCTTTTAAAACTAAAATTTAAGTCGATTTTATTTGATGAAAAAAATCACATTTTTTAGATATTTGCGAAAAAAGTAAAACATAATTGTTTTAAAGATTTTTGGGTGATTGTAGTGCTTTTTAAAGCAAACTGACGTCCGGCAAAATGAAGACGATAAGATTTGCTGTATTTTTGTGGCAAATCAAACTTTTTTTGATAAAATGCGGGTTTGAAAAATTTACCAGCGGCAAAGAAAACAGCAGCTTTGTGGACCATGATGCCGAAAAATAGGGCGACAACGGATTTGACCGATGTCTAAAGGAAGAATTAGGGAAAACAATGAAATACCCGAGGAATTTGAAGTGTTGTTTAAATGATATTAAAATAAATTTAAGCTTTACCTGAACGCCAAAAGCGAACCCTTCGAGTAGACTGTGGATTGAGAGGGCGAAAACCAGGGCAAGACTCCGAGACAGACCCTGCGCCTCGCCTTTATTTAGCTAAAAACGTCAGTTTTAATTTAATATTAAGTAATTAGAAAATTGTAGACAGTTTAGAGAAAATAATCAATAAAATATTGTTAAGAAACTGGGGAAAGAGCAAAAAGATGAAACAAGCAAATAATTCAGCGTTTTACGATCTTTTCCTCGAAGGGGCCTTCTGGGTCACAGTAGGACTTAAAAAGTAGAAAACTTCAAAATTTTGAGTTTTCATAAGTGAGACATTGAAAGAAAATTTGAAGCCGTTTGAACCGTCCTGGCCGAGGGGTTTTCGGCCTATTTTAGCCATCACCATCCCATTAAAGTCACAAAAACCCGGTCTAAACCTACCAAACTATCGATACTTCCTTCAGCTTTTTCCTTATTGATTTCGAGCTCTTCTTGGAAGGTTAGGCCGGAAGAGACACGAGGGAGCACTCTAAAAAAACAGAGCCTGGTATATCCTCTCTCTCTCTCTCTCTCTCTCTCTCTCTCTCTCTCTCTCTCTCTCTCTTACTTTGCAGGCTCAGGCGGTCCATGTGAATGTCCAGCCGTCCCAAATATGAGTTTGGTGACAAATTCGACAAATAGCACAAAGAATAGACCGACACCCATCAGAAGGCCAATCCAGTAGCTGCCGAATTTGGAGTCTTTCAAACGGCCATTCACTTTATCGAGTTGCTCACTAAAAAGTCTTCCTGATTTATTCACACCAAAATTTA